CTAAAAATGTTTGTTTCTCTTAGTGCCAGTCTAAAAGCGGTAAAAGTTCCAGAGGTATGTGTGCATTAATCAGTGCTTTAAGTGCAGCTTCTGTATCTATTAAACATTCATGTAACACAATAATTTAAAGTCAGAAGGACTTTGAAATATTTACAGGTTTCAATAAATGTTTAAAATGCAGTTTTGGTAGCAAACAGCAGAACTGGACTTCCTTTGAACTGATGGACATTGCTGCATCTTCCTGTGTCTCTAATAAGACGTGCCAATGCCATAGGCTGTTTAATGCCAAGACTATAAAGTCAGGCTCAAAGCAAGGGATTTAGTCTCTATAAGGGACAAATGTAGTTGTAGCTCACGTCAGTCTCATGTGCAGGGCACATAATCAGACGTGGTGTCTAACAGAGACAGATTTCTTGATCTTGGTAACCTTACAGTGATTTTAAAAAGTTTTTTTTAAAAAAATGAAGTAGCTTTCTAGTGCAGTAACGGAGCAAAGGCCAGATGGAAATGAAACATGAGAATGAGAATGTCATTTTGTATCTGAATTCACAGCATTTCAGATCTTACATTTTCCACAAATGACATGCAAGGTTTTTAAGTTTTTGGTTTTTTTTTTTCCAAGTCCTTTCTGTCTTTTGTTACAGAGGGGGACCACAGTCCCATACATACGTGATAGACTTACACTACCACACTGCTTAGTGGCCTTAATGGATTGGGTCTGAACACAATGGCAATAGCAAAGCATTAAGATTAAATGAATGAAACAGAGAGAACTTCATGTATTAGACAAATACAGAGCTTGCTTATGTCTCCAAATAATTCACATTTTTGTCCACAAAATGGTACCTGAGCTGATCTCAGATACCTAAATGTGGTCAAGGTTAACAAGTTCACTTAGACTTTGCAAATGCTTCAAACTCCAGAGATACTCACCTATTTTAAGTGATCGCTACCATTCGTGTCCCAACAACTAGAATTAAACAGAAAGTCTAAGTTTTCCTATGTAATGAGTAAAAATTGTTCGAGTCTTCAAAAAAATTGAGATGAAATATGTTCTAAGGTTACTCCAGAACCTTGGATACCTTTCATACAAGGTAATGAAAAAATCAGTTTTGCCAGCACAGGGAAAAGCGCCTCCTTCAAAAACAAAGAGGAAAAAAAAGGTGCTTTGGATGATCTAAAGCTAACCAAGTATGAGGATTCATAGGAAAGTAGTGGATGCTTGCTTCTCAAGTATAAACCAAGTATTATTGCTCATAATTTTTGAAATACCATTTAGAATGTAAGATTTATTAAAATGCTCTTCTACTGTAGATGGGACATGGCAACAATTCCATTAATCTGAACCAGGAGATGACAGAAAATAATGAATAAACAGACAAAATCTTTTTAAGATCCTGTTCATGTTCAACTTAGAACATAAACCTGAGAACTTAGAGATATTAATTCTTGAGGATCTGTTCAGAAGTCTACTAATCTAATTCATTCAGGACTCTATTTTACTTGCAAAAAGCAGATTTAAAATTATTCAAGGAAAGCACTTCCTTGACCTCTCAAGACTTTTAGGAACTGTTGAAGAGGCAACAATCTCCCAAAAGAGCAAGTTGAAGAATGCTAAGCAAAGGAAGAAGCAGATTTCAAGTACAGTTTGGGCTGAGAAATAAAAGCATAAACAGATGACATGATGAACTGCATATTAAATAAACAACTAGCAGGACTTGAAATTGAATTAAGTTTCCAGCTGCAGAGAAGGTCAGCCCTGCCAATGCTGTATGACTCCTACTCTTGGGTGCCCACCCAGAATATGGCAATCTTGTGTATTTGCTAAGTATATTGGTTCTCAGCTTTAATCGTGAATTATTCATGTCTGGCTAATACCAGATTCCCCTGAGTATTCATGCACAGCATGCATGATGATTGAATTTTCATTGAATTTAACAGAAAAACTTTTCTTTGGGACTATCAGAATGAGGCTTTAATGACAAAACACAGCTCCTTCCTAGTTCTTCCCCCCAACTATATACTATATACTATATACTATATACTATATACTATATACTATATACTATATACTATATACTATATACTATATACTATATACTATATACTATATACAAGCTGATTTTTTAACTTTGAGTACATATGGGAAAACAATAATCCAAAAGATTGCTGAGCCACAGGTTGGCATGATTAGGAATGGATTACAGAACACAATCAAAACAATGTGTGGTATCACAAAAAATCTAGCCAGAAATAAAAGAAAAATCCTACTAAGAGACTTCACAATGCTTTCAATTCCTTGGGTACAGTTTATGAACATTATCTTACTTTTTTAAAAGCAGGTTATAATTCAATTACCCTATTCTGTTGCCATTTTCTGCACCTCAAAAGAGACTACCTCATTTGCAATAGCAGTTTTACCATTACAATAATAATAAGGAATTTCAAACACTTCATTTCACAGAGTGCTTATACTACTGTTTCCTGATGTGTACTCTGGGCTATTCTTGGACTTAAGAGAGCTTTTTGTGATGCTCAGAATTGAAGTGAAATAACAAATCCGTTAAAAAGATGATAGGTCTTATTTTGAATCCTGCTTTAATCCTCATGCCATTCTAATCTTTGCATGAGAAAAGTCTAATTTTGTTTGCCAATTGTAAAAAGGAGTGAAATTAATTTAATGCTCACCAGTTTCTCATCAACATTCTAAACACCCCAGTGAAATTAATATATTAAACATGGGAGTGGAAGAGAATATTGCCAATTTAAACATCACAGAATAAGACAAGGTGTATACTGATGTTACAAAAATAAAAGTATTGATCTACATATGTTAAAAGAAGAATCCTCCCCTATATCAAACAGCATACTAAAGCTGTGGAACTATCCCAGCTATATAATCACTCTAAAAAGAAGCTGGAGTCATTCAGGCATTCATTCAGAGTGCAAACATCATTTCAAAGCCATTACACAGAAAAACAAAACTCCTACGGTATGGAACACTACTGACTCCAAGTTTCAAAGCTGCATTTGGTTGTACTCTGCAAATGAGATTATCCCCTTTCATACATGCTCATAGAGCAATTGAGATGGTCACAAAGTCCTCCAGAATGGAAAATGATACACATTTCAAATAACCCGCCTGTACTTATACTTACCCTAGAGATATTTCTGAAGTAGAGGAAAAAAACCCCAGCAGACAGTAAGAATGGCCAAACAAGAGAACTCCAAGAGTTACTCAGCATCAGATTATAGACAGTAACTTGTAAGGCAAAGCAACTGGAGCTTTTGGCTGGTCCAGCTCATCAGCAGATTGAAAATCGGTACAAGAAGTTGCAAGAGGAGCTTTAAGGTGACCCACAGTTTAAATGAGGTGAATGAGCTGATATAAGCACGAATCAAAGAAAGTGCTCCATGCTGACACAAAAGCAAATAGATGTGAATCAGCCATAGCCCTAATTAGGCAGGACATTATAAAGGAAAGTTTGAAAGAATGGTCTAGCAGGTGGAGGGGAGGAAAACACTCAATGAATTTTAACCCCTAGAGTCATCATTTTATCTGCAAGATTATAAAATATGGCTGCTTTGATAACAAGACACAGAATAACATTTCAGGATGCCCCTTTCAATTGTACAAAATGTCAAAATAACATTTCAGTTTGTCCCTTTTGATGTACAAAAAGCACACAGTTTGTCTCTGACAGAATTTCTAGTAACATTTCTTACCCACACACACAGTGAAGTAATTCACTCTTACTGAGCTATGTTTAAAAAATCAAGTTGGTGGAATACTGTGAAAAGGTTGACTTGGCTAGAGTTAAAATTGGTTTAGGGAGTACAGTTTTTGAGTACTTGACAAAATTCTCTTTTATCCAAGTACTCTTTGGTGCCATCTCCTATATTATCCTCATGGCTGGAATACTCCCCCTAGAAGTCAGTGGTAAAAGCTTTTTGCCTTCATAACACGAGGTAGCAGAGTTTGCAAACCCTGTAAGTTTCTAAAATGCTCTTTCCACATAGGAATCAAACCCCTTTCCACATCATAGATTATTTATTAACATCTTGTTCTTCCAGATGTCAAGGGTCTCCCTGTTTTATCAGTGTCATACTCCTTTCCTCACTCAAGCTGCTCTTTAATCACATTTAAGAGCATTCTTTTTTTTCCCCACTCACTTCCACCATTCCCCGAAGTATCTCTTTTTACACCTCTTCCCCAAGTCCTTTCAACACGAGTTATATTTTTCTTCCCTTCCTGAGAAACAAGTTTGGCTGTGCCTTTGGATTCTTTTCTCCAAATAACTTCCTTCTGTTTGCTCCTGCCTCTCATAATGAATGCTGTGTGAAAGTTTGCACCTTTTTCTTTCCCACAATATGGGTTTTGCTCTCTCAGCCATGCAATGAACTTTCCCCTTTACACTTTTCCATCACTTATTGTTTCTGAGCCCAGATTATTCCAGTCTGTCAACATATTTCCCTTTTTCAAATTTTACTGAATTTGACCCATGTAACATTTCTACCCCAGTCTAGGGATCTAAACACTCACACATTTGTCAGCAAACTGTACCAATAGTTGCCTATTTACTGGTTAAATATTTAAAACACTAAGGATACTGCCATGACACAGCAGATAAGCACAGATTACAAATATCTCAAGAAATTTTAATTTTTAAGAATCCTGCAATTCATTTAAAAATGACCTTAAAATCCAGGAACTCTAATAAGTGCCTGAAATGTCAGTTTAGTTGATTCAGATGGCAGTTCTAACAGAAGTAAAAAAATTTGCATCTACATCTGCATCAAAAATAAATATACATCATTGAAAAAAATTAAAAATTAGTTACATCTATTCCATTTAAACTATTTAATAGGAGTATTTCCCGCAATGCTGCATACAAGAAACCATTTTAAATAACATTAATACAAACTAAGAAAAGTCAGAGAACCTGAAGTTAGAAAGATTTCATCTTTCTCTCAGATAATAAAAGACATAATACATATGATTCATTCAAACAACTATATTATCATAACTGTCAGAAAAAGCTTAAATAAAAGTGTTTAAATGAGGGAGCTAAAATCCAGGCATCTAAATCCACGTGTAGGCACTGAATAGCTGGTTTAATTTTCAAAGTTGCAAACACTTTGAACTTCCAAAGGGGTTAAGGTGACCAACACCTATAGAAGTCCTATTAACACTTACCAACATAATCTACTCATCTGAGTAGGTCCATCAAATTAAAAAGGATTTGTATGTATAAAGCACATGACTATAGGCTTAAAACATATGCTGATACATGGATTTAGTCATCTAATTTAAATATCAAAATTTAAAACTTTCAGCCACAACATTTAAAATATGATTTGTTTATTTAATTATGCATTTAGGATTTATGCTATAGTCTTGAAAAACATATGCTGTGAGGAACTCACACTAGATTTTAAAACAGAGCAATTAGTACCTTTTATTTCAAAGTGGCAACCAAAGTTGTCATGATCAATGTATTGTTTGAAATATTGAGGTCTACAAATAAGAGAAATCCTTCAGAAACTGCATTTTCCTCATTGACCATATTACTTCCACAGTTTGAAAGCAGATCCCCTGTTAGCAGAGATTTCTGCTTAGAAATGGATGATAAAGCTCTGGAATTTGAGAAGTCCATGTAACTTCCTAAGTGCCTAAGAAAGAAACTTCATCTTTTATACCTCAAGTTTTAAGCAGGGATCAGTATTTACAGTTAAATCAACACCTCTAAATACTTCATTAAAATCAGAATACTGGCCATCACAACACCATTATTATCAGTTAGTTAAACATCTTTTCAGTTGCTAAATGAACATACACTTTCCAACAGAAGGAGTTTTAATCGTTCATCCATTATTATTGGTCAGGTCAGTGTCACATTATTTGCCTTTACTATTTTCTTGCTCTAATAAATCACAACAGCAAAGTAATTAGGTTGCTCTTTTTAGCACAAAAAGAAAGGGCTCAGCCCTGTAGACACTTTTCAAGTGCCTAATTTTATAAATGCTGATGGTCATATTAGTATACAGAAAATAAAGCTTGTGACAACATGTGTGGACAAACAGGGTTCTAATCACCATAACAGTCATTCTTGACATTCAGTCTCCAATGGTCAGAGAGCTACAGCACTGAAACTGCAAGATAAGAATATATCAACTATTCAGGTAATGTCTATGAAATTGAATTAATCTGAGGTCTACCCTGCCACTTCTGGGGCAAAATGAAAAAATATTCCCACTTTGTCCCTGGGAGGGAAAGTCAAGGCAAGACACTGATTAAGTCTTACCCTCTTCTTTGTCACCAGTGAATGAGAAATTAGAGATTGTTCTGGTTCACAATACAGGTAAGGAACTGTTCTTTTAAAAGACCATATCTTTTAAAAATTTAAAACTTGATAAAGGATTGATCTGCCCCTCATTGTATCTACTCAGATATCATCAACTACCAGCAATTCACCTTGGTTCTGGAATACAGGTCTGAAGTATCCTATTCCATCCAAGTTTGTAAATGCAAACCAAACTAAATTCATTAAGGCTGTTTTATGTCTGTGTCAACTGGATTTACTTAGACCAAATGGACCAGTCACTTTGAGGACCTTCAAGTGGAGTGATCAGTCTTGTCAATATTCCAGAAAAAGTCATTGCATCCACTGGAATAATTAGTCACCAACATCACCATCTCTGTCACCTATGAGCCACAGAAAATGAAAACCTATGGCTAGTAAGGCAGTTCCAAGCAGATCTCCCAGTGCAGTAAGGTAAGGGATAGAAAAACTGTCAGGATCTTTTCCTTTTTTCCAGAAGTGGTGCACCATCCAGTCAGCAATCCATAACAAAGTAAACACCTACATAACATCAAACAAACAAAATCTGTATTATTATCACATAAGTTACAGCAAAAGGAAGTCAACAGCAAACATTATTGTCTCCTTACTACACAGAACTACTGTATGCAATTGCTTTGGAAAAAATGTAAGAAATTAATATAAATGAATTTCAGACTCAAAACTCTGCCACAACTAGAGAGAGCGACACTTAGCCAACTTCTCTCAGTCAATCTCATGCACAGCTGGAAGGAACTTCACCCATTCTGTGCTTGAGGACTTCTGAAAAATGGAAAGAAAAAGCTAAGTCCAACCACACACACAACTGCACTGCTCACATAACACATCGTTCAGTACAGAGAGAGCCTAAGTGAGGCTTTGAGTTCATTCAGAACAGAATCACGTTGCCCCCACATGAACACACTCAACCCAGGTTAACTCCTGTTTCCACAGATGTAGCACTGACCTGAAATCAGATGTGATATAAAGAATATCAGGTCAAATTAAGAACAGTTTCCTCTGGGTTGTATGAACGGCAAAAATGGCCTAGAACCTACTTTTATGCCTGAAATACCATCTTCAGCCCCTCTGTAATAAAGCACACCTGCAATATATATTATGAAATTGTCACTCCAGGCTGAATTTGTCCCAAAGTAAAAGACTTCATTCCCAACTGTGAATGTCTGAATATTTGAGAAGCTTGATCTTAATACCAAAGGTATGCATAATCATTAATCCAATTTTTAAAAAGAATCCTTTAATGTTGCACAGCTGTATGATAAGAGATTCTGGTTCAATGGAATCATGTGGTGTGGCATGGCACGAGATGAATGGAGAAAGGACCACTAACTGAGTTCCATTTCTTCTTGTATCTTCTAAGGAGCTGCTTAAGATGAAATAAACACTGTACTTTATGTATTTTTAAACAGATCTTTAAGAAAAGTAAACTTAAGAGAGTTACTCCTATAATCCATTTTTTAAGAACTCCACTACGTACATTTAAAGAAATATGCAGCATCAGAAGTAATAAAAAGTATAACTTTATATTTTATTTAGTAAATAATCACTGGCATCAAAAGCGTACTTAAAAATATATGCACTCACTTATTGATAAGATGTTGCAAGACACTTCTCCATAATAAATACAGCAAAATGAATATCATACAAAAAATTGCGTTGAAAAAGTTTCTCAATTAATCTTTGCTTTGCAGAAGTGTATGTTAAAATACAAGCCTGAATTTCTAATTAAAAAAAAAAAAAAAAAAAGAAAAGGAGGAGTATTTGCTTAATGAAAAATGCATGGCTTATTTATATAAATGTATCTTCTGAAAAGGGAACTCTGTAGTCTAAGCTAATTATGCAAGTCCTAGGTGCGCTGACTGGAATCCAAACAAATATATTTAAAACAGATGTTTTCTTTGGAAAACTATCAGATTCTCTAAGTCAGCTCCTTCTTCTTACAGGGACAAAAAGAGGCCTGTTTATAAAAGATCCTGTACATTAACATCTCCTACAGGATGTGCACAGAAGACCCTGTAGCGCCCCACATCAACAATAGTTACCCATGTTCCATGAGGAGATGAGAGCATTCATCCCAAGGAAAATAGATACTGCATATATATAACACAACCAATTAGACATAACATACACAGTAAAATTTAGATGACAGGATACACTTTTGACTCTTAAAATGTGAATATCGTTCATTTGTCTATATATTTTCCACCCTGAAGTAACAGACTCAGTTTCCAAACTACCTGTTTTTCACAGAAGTCTAAGTTTTTGTGAACCATCCCAAATAATTCTTTGTGCTGCATTAACCTACGGGTGCACAACAAATAGCGCGAATTATAACACGTCTGGCTTCTATAAGTAATAGGAAAAGGTTATAGCATATTATATTAACTGATGCTTATAACAATATATGATGGAAATTGGGACATTGTGCTTACAGAGTATGTTACGAGGATGCAATTCATCAGCCTTTATTTTTGTGAAGGAATAACACTATCATCCACCATGCATTTGCATGGCTAGGAACCCACTAACCTTGAAGAATTATAAGGCTTGGTCTGTGGAAATGGTTATTTATTTGGCCACATTAGTTCATGCTGCAAGACACACTTAATCATTGTGACTTAAATCTTCAATAAGATTTTGCTGTTAAGAACACTGCTGAGAGGGGGCAATCAAAGTAATCAACTATTTTTTTGGGAAAAAAAAAAGAAGACCCCTACTATGAGTTTGCTGAATTTTTGAAAGACAGTCATGAATTTAAAATCATTTCACAAAGATCTGACAGAAAAAAAGATCTGACAGATCTGACAAGAAAAAAAAAAAGGAGAAAAATTATTAAAAAGACATTACAAGACACAACACTTCACATTTTATGAGATTTATTTATCAGTGATGGATACTTATGTCAGCAAAATAACGCAGATGGCACAGCAGTATGAGTACTGTGCAATTCTGCCCTGCACTCTTGCTATGAAGAAGAAAGCCTTCCTACTTCCAACTGAAAACCAGCTGGTTTTGAGGGAAAAAAATAAAGGGACCAACATCACAGAAAAGCCTACAAAGACAGTACAAAAATGTTCCGTTTAGTATGAAAGCTGAAGAAAAGTGATAAGAAAAGCCTGAAATACATGAAGAACGTGTTCAAGATGTGAGCTAAAATTACTTAATCTACGGAGAAAGAGAACAATTAAGTGTTCATGCTATATTATTATTCCTCTGGGAAAAAAAAATCACAATCAAAATCGAGGAAAATGAAACTAAAGACATGATCAGATTTAGACCGCATTTCTAAAATGACCCTTTGGTCACATTGTCAAAACAAGCCCTCAGAAGACAGAAGCAGCAGAATACAGCAATAAGACGGAGGAAAAGAGCTAGAGTGAATTCTTTATCAAATACCAATGATGAAGAATCTAAAAATAAGTATCTGTATTATTTACTACAACAAAGAACAGCAATAAAGACTAATTATCGATATTGAACTTTCTGATGCAAATTATGAATTATCAAATTGAAACTGCATCTGCAGATGAATGCTTAAATATGAGTGAGCTTCACCATTTAAAGTTCAAATTTTATGACTGCACAACTAGAAATGGATACACACTGCAAAGCAAGGGTTTTTTCCCTTCATTATTGTGCACAAAATTTACTTTCATTCTTTGCGTGTCTTTAGATACAATAACAAAATTAGCTAATGAAAGTTATTTTTGATCTTTTTCATATAGCATATCTGCATTTTCTCATGGAATTTATTTCTTATGATTCCTGAAATGGGAAAAGAATGAAATTCTGTTATTTAAAATAAAGATACACAACTTCTTCCAAACATTCTTACTACTGTCTAAGCTTCCTATAGTCAAATTAATAAGTTGCAGGACGCAACTTATAATATTTTTATTGCTTCTTTCATCTGGCATGTCCATATTTTCTCAGTGACTGCATGTCAAATTCACAGTGATAAAAGTGTAACATTCAAATGCATAACATATGTAAAGCAGATTAGAATCATTCACCTTTATATTGGTTTATACATTAGTTACTGTGATGAATGAATTCCAATACCAAACTGGAAAATTAAAATTTAGGTTATATAATTTCATATGCTTTTCCAGATGGGCATTATCAAGACACATCTATAAGTTTAGTATGTAGAACAAAGACCTTTTAGCAGTTTATTTAGCATGCCTTAGACAGGATACCTTGCCTGTGGTTAGTATTGCTGATTTCACCTTAAATTGTTTCCATGTGAAGATGCATTAGAAAATAGTTGCATTCTGTTACTTTAGACAGGAAATACAGATGCAAATAAACCGAGGTAACTTCTTTCCAAATGTAGTTTGTCTCCTTTTCTCTCAAAATGATATTGACTCAAAATTCATCTATAACATAATTATGAAAAGATCTTGCAATTACTGCATAAGAACTCTTGCCAATCTATGAAATTCAAAGGTAGGTTTATTTATTTGGTTTTTAATTATGAGTAAAAAATTCCAGTTAAGGATCTCATAAAGACTACTGTGTCTTCACTCTGTCACTCTTGCCAGATTTATGGTTTAAGTCTTACAGTGGTTTTGACCCTACATTAAGTTAATTTTCTAATTATATATATTACATGTCTCCAACTTTAAATGGCTTTTGATGTCTTCATGTGAAACTAAGTAGTAACTGCAAAGTGCCTGTAATTGATCTACACTGAACTTGCTGAGTTTCCATTGCCTACAGACAGAAATCTGTAGTCAGTGAACTCTCAGAGTAGGGTCTATACACACTTTTCAAAAGCCATTTTTCTCCACTGTTTTCTCAGGTAGCATATCTGGTGTGTATCATGTCCAGGGGAAACAAATCACCATTTCCTCCAAACATATAGAGATTTCCTTCAATGTCTGTCTGCAAAGAAACCACTGAACAGCAAGCTTTTTCTTGCTGCTGTTTGTGTTGTAGTTAAGTGGTATTAGCTCCTCTAAAGGTATCCAAGTGCCCAGACAGCACAGCACAGCACAGCACACATTTATGTAAAACTAAAACCTCACTGAAGTAAAAACTGAACTTGTTTCTAAGTCATTCTGATTATACTGATGTAACTTTGTGGGAAGCGACTTTTTTTTTCTATTCCACAGTTTGATTCAAATTTTTCAGATTGCCATCTTGATTTCTTTGTAGCTTTGCCAGACACCCTGCTTTGACCAAAACAATCCTAATTTCGGGCTGTTCCTCAGCTGCCTGAGAAACGAGACATGTAACCCAGAGCAGCAAGTGTTCAGGTACGCTCAGCCTGCATTAGCTGTAGCACAACTCAGCATGTTGTGAGATGTACATAAGCACTTGGAGCTCAGCTTTCTGAAGGCAAAAATGATCTATTCCTTGCTAACGACTTGTTAGGAGCCAGGCTTCTGCTAGAAAAGAAAGAGTGGTTGACAACCACATTCACATCCCAATGAATCTGGCAAGTCTGCCTGTGATGCTAGCAATGAGAAAGCACTGAATATACAGAGCTGTCCAGATTTGGACTTCTACTTGCCATAATTCATGGTCTCTTTAGCAGTTATATGCTCTATCTTTTGGAAGTAACCTTTCCTGTTACAAAAATTAGTATTTAAAATGTATCAATATTTTATCTATAAACACAACCTTTCTTATTTCTCGATTATGTACAGTGTATCCCATGAGTTATGTTTCCACATTAAAGAGGCCCATACCATCATCAGAATCCTCACACTAGTGAGAAATCCAAAATATTTCTGAAGTGAGCAGGGAGCCATTACGAGCAGTGCTGAATTCTTGGTTTTCTATTGCCCCAAACAGCCCTGAAGCACTGCAAAAGTGACTTCACAGCTGTACACATCTGACCTTCATTGAGTAAGAAGAATTTTGGAATTACTTATTTGTTCGGTAATAGCTCTGGGAATCTCCTATTGTTTGTTTATTCCCCGAGTCTTAAACATAACTGTGTGTTCAGATTTGGTTAGTAGGTGTGAAAATTCCTCAGAGGGCGTTTTACTGGCTCAGTGAGAACACGCAGAACAGAGGCTGCCTTTGAGTGCTGCGAGCCGCGTGCCAGGACTGACGGCTTGGCAACTCCAGAGCTGCCCTCACTTTCCTGCAGGCTGACAAGACAGGGGATGAAACTTTGCTCAGTGCACAGCCTCATACAGTTAAAAAATACTTGTGCCTTTGTGAGGTATAAGAGGAGGACTGTTCTCCAATTAATATGATCTTTATTGCTCAAATGCCATATTGTAACTGAGTGCAGTGTACTGGTACATGTTTGTCTGTGACGTGTTCTTGTAAAATTTTCAAGGAAAGAGTATTCCTCTTAAACAGAAGTCGCTCACCAAATCCAAAATACAATTAAAATCATTATACTGGTTTTCACCAAAGTACACTGGCTTGCCCAGATACTGTATGCTGTGTTATGTGAAGTACCCAACCTGCTTAGAGTGTATACTTTCCTCGTAACATTTTTTATTTGTATTTTCCCCTGGTGCTGCCATGCATAAACACAGAACAGGCTCTTCACTACAGAGTTAATTCAGACCTTTTGAACTCTAGCTTAATAATTTTAGTAAAATGCAGATTAATAGAAATATTTGTGCAGTAAAGGCAAAGGGAGTACAGCCTTGGCTTTCAATAGAATCAATGTATAAATTTAATTGAAGAACATTTCAAGAATATGTATTAATTTAATGAAGAGAAACAACTGTACTACTAGAGGTAGAAACATAATAAAATAAAATAAAATAAAATAAAATAAAATAAAATAAAATAAAATAAAATAAAATACTTTCTGGGTTTTCTTAATTGTAGAAACCCAAAACTGTTGCATAACATAGAGAATCATAAAGAATGAAGATCGTAACAGTATGGTTGTTAAAGGATTCTACTCAAAAGGATTCAAAAGTTCTTAGAAAGACAGACAGAAAGAACAGCTAGAGTGAAGGAATAGCATCATTTCCTCAGGAAAACACATTATAAAAGAAGTGATAAGGCTGGAAACTAAAAATATTATGTGAGAGGAAAATGAAAAGTAATATATATCTTTTAGTATGACACTCTCATTTTCAAAGGTTGGAATGTTACTGGTGATGTTCTAACAAAAAGGTATAAAATTCTCATATGAAATAGTAAGTTTTTGAAAACTTACTTACTCTGTCCTTATTGAAATAGCAGTGTAACAGAGAAATTCAGAACATTAAAAATCATAATTTTGCTAAGAATTCACTGCTGATAATATTGTTTGTATTTTAAAATTAAAGCGGTCGCATTTTTAGAAGCAGTAGGTATATTTAAATTATGGATATTTCAACTACACTTTTACTGTGTAATGTGAACAGTCAATTTTTGGTTTTAAGGTGTAGTTAAATATTATAGTTAATTCAGCCATGTGATAGCTAAAAACTAGATGTGGTTTTAATAAAAATATTTAATTTTGTATTAAAGATTTCTCAAAGTAAAATTATTTCACCTTGAGACATTTCTATTTCAAAAGGTATCTTTCAAGAACTGCCCTTGCTGGGTATCAACAGATCACCAGGTAAGACCAGCCAAATAATGTAACAAAGTTTGACAATGAATGCAATTACAATTTCTTGTATAGTGTTTGCTGTCAGACTAATTTAAACTTTAACAAATATTAAGAACACACTGAGGAAGCTGTAACATTCTCATTTACTGGACTATGTTAACTAAAACAGTAACAGGAACCACTTTAGGAAATTTCTTTGAGAGTTTTCCTCAATATATTCATTATTCATAAATGCTACCTTTCTATTTCTCCTCTAGTTGATTAAAATGATGGGGAGTTTAGATGCAATGGTTCCAAGAATCATGTAAAAGATGCACAACACCTGGGAAAAAATGCAATCAAGTGTCTTCTGGAAAGAACTCACAATACAGATACACCTGTGTAAGCTGCAGATGTGTGAGGATAATTAATTACTTCAGAGCTGTGCTGAGAGCCTGTATTAACCCATATCTCCTCGTATCTCATTCATGAGATTTTAGATATCAGAAAAACACATGGTTTTCTTCAAGCACTTGACTTTACACAAGTATTTGCAATCTGTCCTTGTTCTTACCTGTAGCAGGGCTGCAAACAAATACACTGCTATGAAGATAGGGGTTAAGGAAGTATGTCCGCTTTTCATTAGGTGGATGGTGTACAAGAAAATCAGGTGTCCAGGAATCACCAAAAGCAGCAGAACTTGGGCTGATTTGTTATTTACCCCTACAATTAAATAAATAAATAAGACTTAAAACAAACAAACAACAAACAAAAACACCCCAAAAAACCCAAACAAAAAAACCCACACCACCGAAACTTGGTTAAGCTCTTCAATTACTACAACAGATTTTTATTCTTGTCAATATAAAAAGAAAATAATTTTGGAATTCCACAGCATTGACTATGGAACTATGGAACAGCAGGCATTATTTTCCACTAAAAGACTCCTTGAGGAATTTCACAGCTGGGGAAAAAGACAACTCCAGTGTCTATCAGAAAAGGTAAGCAGAGCTCTTCCTGAAGAGGGTGCAAACTGTCTGACTTCATTCTGTGCTCACGTAATACCATCTACATTTCTGGAGCTGCAGTGACCTTCTAAATCTTCCTAGGAAAGACAATCTTTTGGACTCCATATTCAAGACAACCTTTAAAGTACCTTATATTTCTAAAAAGTAAGCTCCCATTTACCACTTTCAGATCTGTTCCAATTCATTTATTAAAATGAAAGTGTAATACATGGTGTGGACACATCACATTTCACCACAGTTACTACATCATTAGGGAAGTGGGAAATGCAGGGGAGGAATAAGCTGTGAAGCAAGAATCTAGAAAGAAAATGGCAAATTTGAAATGGAAATCAGGGATTTGGCTTAGTAATAATGTTAGTTATAAAGCTTGGTCCTGACAGGAAATTGGTTTGAACTTCTGAGGTTAAATGAAAAAAGTTAGGAGCAAGTAGACAAGCTAAGGAAAGATGAAGGTTGAAATCCTCCTGAGAGGGTATCACAGCATCCTGCCTCATCAGCTCTTATCTGCAAGCGTGGCCAGGGTTACACGCTGCTCTGTGTTCCTCTCCACTCACTGCCTCCTCCAGCAGTTCCTTGAGATTCTCACAGGCAAACAGCTGCAGGGAAAGGAAACTGCCAAGCCTCTGCTGCCTTTGAACTGCACACAGCCAGCTCAGTGCATTGCCATTTCTCACTGGTGGTAAGTCTGGCACACAGGGAGTAAAAAGAGACAAGAAACAGCAGTTTCAACTGACTAATCCATACCTGTACCATAGTATGTCCTGCATGGGTAATAGCAACCCTTGGCTTCTTCTGGTAGCTCTCCAGGAATGCTGTGTAAATGGAGGTAGGTAGAAATTCTGCTAGCTTGAATAGCTACTAGATTACCACCAATACCTGAAAGGCAACAGGAAACAAATGAAAAGTTTTCAACTATTTTTTTTCCTCTAGTAGGCAGTATTTTTGCAAATTTACTAAATTCCTCTCTGTTTACCACAGTACCCTACATACAAAAGTCAAAATGAGAAATATCTTTAGAATGTGTATTAGTTACAGACAAGCAAAACAGCAAGCATTAAAATAAGCCAGAAAACTTGGGCTACAGTATGGTGTATCACTGGATATTTAAAGATCAGTTTTGAAACACTGCAAGTGCAAAAAATTCCAAACCTTCCAAAAGCTTCAATCTTATGCTTTCTCATAGGTGAAACTCCCTTTTATTGCTCCCTTTTTATTGGAAATCCCTCTTGGAACACTGGAAGTATTGCACAGTTGTGCCCCTGCTGGATTACCTGGCAAACGTAAGTAACAAAAGCAGATGCACTCACTACCATAAGCATAAATGCAGATTTCACACAGAATCAAAGGACTGGAAATGACTTTAAGAGTTAATATATTCACTCCCCTGACACAGAGCAAGATTAACTAAAGTATTCTGTCACTCACTCATAATTCAGGTTGAAGGAACAAGATATGTGTCTGAACAGATGATTTTTAAGAGAACGGTAGTGATGGAGATTCTGCTTTCTTTTTTATAAGGGGCAACGTGCTCAAGTTGCACCAGAAGAGCTTTTGTCTCTATATAAGAAAAAATGTCTAATAGTCAGAAGAATCATTCACTACAACAACCACCCCAGGGACATGGTGGAGTCCCTTTACTGGGGGTTTTCAAGATGTGACTGGACGGGGAGCTAGATAATCTCATCTGGGCTCCTTTCCCACAACAGGTTGGACCAGATAACATTCCGAGGTTCCTTCCAATATGGGCTGGTTTATGTTCTATAAATTTTTACTTCAGTGAAGAGAAAACTAAACCGAGCTTTTATATCTACATTGCAGAATGCAGTGGCAAGAATCAAGAGCATAAAATCCTATTATTGTTACTATACTATACTTGCATATCAAGTACATGCTGTTTCTTTCCCCCTCTTCAGATGCTATACATCTGAGAAGAAGGAGAAGTAACGCAGATTTTGACCCTGCTTCAGAAGGAGAAAGCCCTTGTTTACAATAGTTGAATTAATTTGTTTATCTGATGCTTAGGGCTTTGGTTGCAGAACAAATATCTCTGGTGACCAGAAGACACTATTTCTCAAATTCTTTTGGTGACTATGGAGTGCTTAGCACAGAGATTTGATACTGAGAACTCAAAGAACTTCTGCCTCACCACTGCCTAAAGACAGTAAATGGCTGAACCTAAGAAGGAAGTAGGTCTTTTAAGTTACAAGCTTCAGATACAAATCATGACATGCATGTTCCCAGTCAGGAGATAGAGGGGCAAGATGTGAACTACCAAAAGGTTGTGTCAGAGTTCGCAAAGAAAATTAAAATAATACTGGCGCTTTTTTTCAGAAAAAGTAGTAAAATAAGGGATTTATCTAAACTACAGAAGAGGTTTAAACAAATTAAAACCAATCTAAGTAGGGTCCAAAGTCTGTCCTTTCACTGAGAACAATAAATTAGAGATTTCTGAGTAATGAGAATAAGGTACAGAAAGAGAGACAAAAATAAAATTAAGTATCAATGCACCTAATTTGGATGGGGATCAGATAATTTCTGTGACTGAATTATAAAAAAGCTGTTATGTAAAACTGCTTCTTAATAGAGCTACAAAGCTGGGGATGGTGCCATATGACTGCAAAATATGAAATAATTTCTGCTAAAAAAGAGGACATAAAGGCAATGTGGGTAATTACAAGCAGGTTAACAACTGCAATAACTCACATATTCAAAACTATATCGAAACAAAAAAAGAATAAACTCCTTTTCACTATATCCCTTACAGCACTACAAAAACAAATAAAAGATTGAAGTAAATAGGGCTGTTTTGAGTTTTGTAGCAACGCAATTGCAAACCATGTTGGCACAAACTCCCTTGATTTTTTTTTTAAGATTTTCCTCTAGTTAATAACAAGGGAAACAGAGTGAGATAAAAGAATTAGGAAAATGGAAATTTGCCCACTTGAAATGGTGCTTAAAAAAATCTATCTTGACAACAGAAACATAGACAAGTCTATGAAAGAAGGTGTAAGATTGGTTGTCAGTCCTTTGATGGACATTTTATTCATCACAAATCTTTTCACTTTTTGAAAAGCATTAAATGTGATTCTAAAACAAACTGGCCAGCCATGGAACACTGGTAAAAGGCAGTGATACCTGCTCTGCAAAGGAAGTGGATGTGCCAACCAAAACATCCAGTGTGCAGTGTGATTTCATGAGTAACTAATTACAGCTAAGTTGAACATACACAACCTATTTTAGCTAGATGGAAACGCAATATTTGTGTGTTAAGCAAAAATATTTTAAATTTCATTTGTCTGAGTCTCAATAATTTAGTATTAGTGGTATAATTCTAACTCATCCAAGACAGGCAGGTGTAGTGAAGTGTAAGGGTTTCTAGAATCCATACATCCAGTCTCAACCGGCTGACAATGTACTGTGATGGGCAGCAGCAGTGACTCTGTCTTTTAGTTCTACCTATTCACCTACCAATTCTCCTAATTATTTTTGAACCTTTGGGCCAAATTCAACCATGTGTGACACAAGGACAGAGATTCTAACTATCTCCAAACAAGCTACCAAAAAGAAAACAGTGGCTGGGTACATAAAGGGAAAGATTCAAACCCATGCCCTCAGTGAGACAAAGGAAGTAATATGAGTTGTATAGTTAAGGGCATAAGTGGGCCAGCTGGCCAGTCAGCACCCAGGTTGGAGCTAAGCATGCCTCCTCCTCAACAACTCACCAACACAGAAAAGGAATGATGATGCTGTAGAAAGCAGAGGGAAAATGGAGAGAATAAAACTGTGCTTGCACTGAATGAATCACTTCGATATGTACAGAGAGACTCAGTTTGTTTGGTAACAGCAGCTACTGTGCCTGTGAAGTTACCATCTCAGCTATACCAGATTAATCAGATCCCTGCAAGAAACAGAACACAGATGAAACCGTGTAGGTTGACAAGATGTCAATACACAAAACTGATAACTTCTCAGCATCTTCTGAATGCATAAAATGGTCACGTGCTCAGTAGCTGCTCATATTATTAAGATCTCTGTAGATATATATAAGGACTGTTTCCATGGATATTTAATTAATCCAGAGATTTTTTCTCCTATTGCAGTCATCATAACAAATACTAAATTTGCAAAGAATAACTTCATTAGCTTCTTTTCACTCTTTTAAGAACTATAACACAGGAAAACAATTTATTTCAAAAGTAAAATCCAGCAACTGTTACTTCATTCCTCTCAGAACAGCAAATGTGTTTAACTTCAATACGAAAGTGCTACTTTGTCAATAAGCAGAAGAGTCACTGTCTGCTAAAGTGTGAAGAATGTCACGCTGACTTACAACTTTAAAAGAAAATTGAAAGCCTCATCATTTTATCGAGGCAGTTAAGGGCTAAGCAAGAATGTTTCTTCTGAAAATTGTTATCACAGCTCTTTTGTCTAACAAGCCCAAAACCCATACTCAAAGTAGAGCTGAAACCACATCACGTATTTGCAAACAGGCCTACGGGCGGGATTCTATTCATCATCATTTGCAAAAAGGACTTTCTTCTAATAATAGAAGTAACCACATTAAAAGTACTTTACATCAATGCATCTTAAAAAATACTTCAAAGCAAATCTCATAACCCTCAGTACAGGTAAAAACAACCCAGAAGTTAAGGGAAGCTGGAGGGGTGTTGATGACACAGAAAAGTCTGAGAACATTCACTGCTCCCAGTAACACGCCGGGCTGATTTTTACCTCAGAAGTTATACTGTATGTTTGGATAAACACTTTTCCAGGGAATACTTGGCGGAGCAGTTGATAAACCATTCAGATAGAACTGGATAGGCTCAAAAGTTGGGTCACGAGAAATCTCATTAAATTCAACAAAAAGAAATGCAAAATCCTCCATCTGGGTAGGAATAACCCCATGCACCAGTACAGGCTGGAAAGCAGGTCTGCAGAGAAGGACATGGGGGTACTGAAGAACAAGAAATTCACCGTGACACAGCAATCCACCTTCATGGCAAAGGTCAACAGCATCCTGGGCTGCATTAGGAAAAGCATCACCAGCATGCCAAAGGAGGTAATGCCTGCTCTGTACTCTGCACTGGAAAGGTCACAACTGCAGTACCATGCCCATTTCTGAGCTACCCAGTACAAGAAATGGACTGACTGGAGTGAGTCCAACACAAGCTCACAGGGACTGCAGGATCTTCTGTATGAGGAGAGTTAGAGACCTGTGACTGTTCATCCTGCAGAAGGCTCAGGAGGACCTTACAAATGTGTATAGATACTTGAGACGAGGGATGAAGGCAAGCCAGCCAGACTGTTCTCACTAGTACCCACTGACAGGACAAAAGGCAATAAAAAAACCTGAAACACAAAATATTCCACCTGAGCACAAAAACCCTACTTTTTCTTTTGTTTATGATGAGGGTGGTCAAATGCTGGAACAGGCCACCCAGAGGAATTGTGGTGTCTCCATCTACGGAGATATTCAAAACCCTACTGGACACAATACTAGACAACCTGCATAAAATAATGTTTTATGCAAGTGAAATATTTAGATTGGAAATCTACCTTAAATAGCTAATTATTTGTGGGTTTTTTTCATCTGTATTTCTTCTATCTTCCATTTTACTTTGTAGCATTTCTTCTAATACGTAAAAATGTTTGGGGGAAAACAGGTGGGAAATATTAACCTTTCCTATATGGATGTTTATTAAGAGAAGTCTTTAAGACAACATTATATATGCATATTACGATTTGACTCATAAATCAGTTATTTCCTATCCCTAATAAAAAAATTGTTCTTTTACGGTCAAAAAATGAAAATATGCTGGATATGATAAAATTTACAAGTAAGACTTCCAAGAAAGATCACACATCTATAATAGCATTCAATATGCAGGTTTACACATGCAGGTTAGGAACTAAAAAGTAGTAAAACTATCACCCAATAATGTCTCAGAAGTAAATGTCAAAAATCAAAGCCCTCCTCCTTATTTATGCCAAAATCAAGACTGAACAGTTCTCACAGAGCACTGGTGCCTTCTGAGACTAACACATTCTTTCTAATTCAGCATGCAGAAAAATTAATTTGCTACTCAGCCAAACTGCTCTACTGCCATACAGGAACACTGATGTTTTCCCTTGTCATTTGCAGAGACAAACTTCAGATGCTCAACTGTCTGAGACAATTGTTATATTCTAATCAAAGCACTACTCTGTTGTGGAAAAACTCAACATATAACTACCCTAAAAAAGATTAAAATGCATAGCTATTAAAAAAATGCATTTTATTTTTTGAGGAGGAACGGTTCCTGAGTATTTTCTTTCCATATTCTCCAAAACAATTTACAGCAAAATCTCTCCAAAAAACCTGAAAGCCTGTCATTCAATTTACCCTTACATAAGCTTAATTTTCATCTCCTAGACAACTGATACTCATTATGTTTTACGTTACATTTTCTCATATATTTTTCTCATATCCTTCGATCTACATTTTTTTCCTCCAGATAGCAAATAATTTTAAAATACGTACAGCCAAAAAGCAAGAAATACTAAAACTGGCTTGTGTTACCCTTAGAGTACTGCTTCGAACAACCTGCAAAGGCAAGATTTTTGATATAAAGGATTTCCAATTTTCAAGTGGTTTTGGAATTAATTTGCAGAACCGCCATTCCTCAAGATGCATAAAAATAGGGTAAAGTCTACTGATATGTTGGTTAGTACGCAGTAAGTCATGAAATGCAAATACTTAGAAGATATCTCACAATGCTTTGTCTAAGCATACAATGAAAATCGAGAGGAAAGTGGCTCTAGCCAGTAATTGCACTTAGTTCATTTCTGTTGCATATTCAGAAGCATGTAATTGTTTAAGGTATTATCTTTTTTCTGTGCAAAAGGAACTCGGTTTCTTGCAAATTGCTATTCCTGAGCCAAATTCAACACCCTGTGATGCTGTAAGAGGATTTGCAAATTTTAACCACCTCATCCACTAGAAAACATAATGATCAACTTGAGTATCTAGACTGAAGCACAGCCACTCTTGGGCTTAGTAATTTTATTCAGAACTTCAGTACATCAAACAGACATCTAAGTATCACATAGTTTGTAAGTACTATAGTGGCTGAAACAATAAAATTATTTCTTTTTAATAAGCAGAGATACTATTTAACCCAGCCAACCATAGAACAAAAAAATATTTATTCATCTCAATAAATATGTTTAAAAGTGAGAAAATGGAAAAGCGGTTGTGAAATACTTCAGGCCACCAGCAGTAAAATGGACTATAAATGCCTGTCTGCTTAAAAAGTATTTTAATATTTTGGGAAAATATTTGTAGTTATTGTTAATGGGGGTAAGAACCTTTGAGGTTGCTCAAATTCCAGACCAATATTTCTTAAACTGAAAGATTTAATGGCTCCACACTGTAACACATAATGAAAGTAACTCGTCTCACATCTAAGAATACACAAACCATCTAGACAGAACCTGGCCAAAAGCTGCTAAATGGTGCACACAGCAAGCCTAACAACTGACAGTTCTGTAGTACATACAATTCAGATTTTTGAGATATGGAAACTGGCACTGAAATAAACAGTGACAGCTTGAAATCTTGGACAAATTTACACTGTCATCAAATTCTGGCTGGACACGATCCCAATACAATACAGTATTTCTTTCAGGTTTTCCTGTTGGGTTTGGGGTTTTTTTTCGGGTTCTCTATGCCATAGGAGTAACCAACATTAAGGAGAGTGGAAAAAAACAGGCATCCTAAAAGCATTTTGAGGGGAAACCCCTCAGCTCCTGTCACTACTGAGGTTTACAATGAGAATTCTAAGGCCAGGAAAGCACTGTTAGAGAAAACTTTCTGCAACAGTAATATTTAAAAAGCCATCTGTTAAGTGACTAAACACACCTTTTATGTAAGTAAATGAGTGTCAATAGGTGTGCTTTTTTCACTGAAGGACTTCCTAAATCCCAGTTTACTACACTGTACTGACCAGCAATATCAAAAGGTGTCAGTAGAATTATGAAACCCAGGAGAGGTTAATCTAACAACAACCAAGAAAATCACCTACCTACAATTTCCTTTTCCAGGAGATGTACTATAAAACAGGCCCATTCTGCATCCTCTACACAGAACATATTTTCTCTATATTTTCCAATAGAAATGCCTCTAGCCTTAGAATTTTGAGTCAAGCATGTCTCTTGGAAAGACTCTCTCCCTGTCTGCTCTTTTCCACATGCCAAATTCTTCAAGGATCTTTTGACCTGTCAGCTCAATATTCAGGACTTTATAGCTTTTGGCTAATTCTTTTCCTATAAAGGCAGTTCAAAAGAATGTATGTGCATTGCCTTAGTTCTGTCAATAACTTTATGAAAGAAAAGATATGAAAGAAAACAAGAAATAAAGCAGTATATTTACTCTTTCCTCTGGAGGCATGCTAATAATAAGCTGTTATTCTTAGCAATTAAAATTATTTATTTAAGTCCAGTCATTAGCTAAAAATGATAAACAGGCAATCCAATAGGATGCCTAATTCCACTGACAAGAGCAGTCCATAATTGCTGCAGGGTAAAAGACTATCATTATTGCAACATCTGGAAGGCACATGAGGCCTTGAGAAAGGCATGTGTCCATGAGACCTGTATCCATTGCAGGTAAAAGTCTAGAATAAGGGAACCTACAGAGAAAATCCAGAATTATTCTGGTATAGTACTGGAGTAGAAAAGGAAACCTATGTGGAAGGAGTAAGAAAGAATCACCAGATAGTTACTGGCTTTTGTTATCAAGGGATGTCATCTGGGAAAGCAGGACCACTGGTAAGAGTACTGGTGTGGGTATACCTGCCTAAAAAGAAAAAACAATCCTCTTCTCTTAGGAGGTAAATGCAGGGGTTTGCTGAAAAAGGACTACTATAGGAAAAGTAGCAGATGTAAAGCAGACAAATGTCTGCTTTGCATTTTAGGTATCTGGATCATCAAAATGAAAACATACAAAAGTTAGGTGCAAGTACTCGCAATTTTGATTTAATACAAAGGCAAGGCATAGGCAAGGAGACATAAAGGCTGAAGTGTAAGAATTAATTTATGGTAAGCAAAGAACAAGAGTGGCAACACAGAAATGCTTCATGTTAAAAGCAAGAAGAAAGAAAATTAATGACTTTAATGAGAAAGAAGAGCAAGCAACATGCTCTACTGAAGACTGAAATACTCAGTTCCTTTTGTCTACTGCCTTCATAAAAATGATGATACCTGATCACAAACTGGTATGTACTAGGGCCTGGGGGTAAGTTAAATATAGTCCTTAGAGAGCTATATGAACAATCCAAGAATTATTAGTGATCATTTTTGCAAATTGATTTTCTTGGAGGTTAGAGAATACCTGAGGGCTGTAATGGAGAAAACAGAAAATATATCTTTGAAGGGGATCAAAAAGAATGATACAGAGAACCTGTATATCAGTGAAATTTATGTTCCTACATGAGAATTAGAACAAATTATTAAGAGGACAATCCAGAAGATATGAAAGCTGTAAAACATGAGCTAAAATGAATTTGCCAAGAACAGGCTTCTGTCAAAACAATACAATTTCTCCCACTAACTGAACAGCTTGCCTAATGGTTGCAGCAACAGATATACTAACTGTCAACCACAGTAAAGCTTACCAAAATGTTTTGGTGCTATCCAACATTTCCATTAATAATGTCTGGAAAATCAATTATATCAGGCCAATGTGGTTCAAAACTAAAACTCAGCAACCCTATTAACATCTTGTTATCATGGTGGAAAACAAGTGGCCGTAATTCATTTAATTCATAGCTTAGAAAATGGAATAGAAGATGCCCCTATGGAATTTGCAAGGGCCAACCTAAGTCAAAACAGTATCACTGTAACACTGAAAATGGTTTTAAAATGGTAACACTGAAAATGGTTTTAAAATCAACAATACATAAAAGTGCAAACTAATGGGAGAAATGAAATTAAGAAATACAAAAAAAAAGGGGAAAAAACAGCTAGGCAGCAATACAGTGGGAAGAGATCTGGTGTTTATAATTATTGCAAAGTAAATAGGTATCAACCCTCTCCTACTGTAGTAGGAAATAAAAGCATTTTCAAACTGCAGCAGTATAAGATATCAAGTGCTCTTATAAAATTTGCCTTGTTCTTATTGTTAGGAGATGGAACACTTAGTTCAAGAACCAAGTTTTCATAAATGCATTCTACACACCTGAAAAGTGCATGCCAGGCATTGGAAACAACATCCATTTTTCTTGAGAAATTTTTTACTTGTCTGTTGCATCCTTGTTAATTCTTATATCTATATACATTACACATCAATAGCGAATTACCCTTTTGAAAATTTGTCCCTGGATGTTCAGAAGAAAATCCCTTGAGACAAAAATTTATATACATTTTCTAGAGCCATAACTGCTTCAATATAATATTTGATAATTTTATTTTTATTAAATTTGATAGTTTAATATTTGAATATGTTCCTTCAATATTTCCACTTTCAGTTTCTTAAGACCTGCTTTCTATTGTCACATTTTCTATCATGTTTTAATGATTGTAGCAAAAACATGAAGCAATTCTCAGGTGTTCAAATACACAGCTGTTGATACCAAAACCAAAACCTGAAATTAATATATCAGACATTAATTAGCACAAGAGAAATTTACTGTAACAGACATTTCTCAAACCAAGGTATACCAATTGATGTATTACAGCAATTAGAGAGTCTTACCATTAATTACTGGGGTATAAACAACAATTCCAACTAAGTTAGGATCAGATACAGTTGTGTCCAGAATAAGGCCACCAATACTGAAAAAACAAAGTACAATATTTAGAATAAGGCAAGCAGGACCATTAATTAGTATTTAAAAACTTTTCAGAGCAATCTGTCTTAGAAAATCTTCAAGACACAATTTTCATCTCAACTCACCTTTCCCCTGCACCATTACCTCATTCTGAGGTACAGACTAACACCGCTGTACTTAGATATTTATTAAAATTGACTTCTTATTTAACCAAGACCATAGAATACCACCAACTCTACTTTTCAGATTCATAACTGTCATTGGATTAAATAATCTGTTAGATCAGTGCACAGTCTTGCAGCAGGAGATGAGTAGCTCACCGTTTCCCTCATTTTGATAGGGCACACTTGTCAATCACAGATACACCAACCCATCGCTAGTGCCCAGCTACTGCTGGCTCCCCCAGTCATTCCCACCTGTGACTAAACTTTGTAACTTCCTCATTTTGGGGAAGACTAAAGTTTATTCACACTCTAAGTTCTAGAGACTCCTTAAATGTTTCTTCTAAGTACAACCAGGTGTTAAGCGAGATAAACAGAGATACAGGATGATTCCTAAGATGCTTCTATGAAGCAAGACAAATAGACTTACCTGCTTATAATCATGGCAGTTATAACAGGCTCCCATCCTGAATGGAGGACAGTTCTGGTAGCTGGGTGTTTGGCAGCTATGACAATCCCCACCGGAGTCAGAATCAAAAAAAAGGCACCAACCAAAGGAGATACATAGGAATATGTCTCTAAAATAATAACAAAGAAAAAAAAAACAAACCTGTTTTACTTTCAAGATATTCCTATACATTTTTTTCTAAATTAGAACTCTAAAATAAATTATAATCTATATCACACAATTGAGGATTTTTAATTGTCTTCATCACTACTGCACCTAAAGCTTCAACTACTGCACTGAACAATATGTTTAACATCTGTCATCTCTGATCATTGTCTCCCACCTTCTCAAGGACAGAACTATCTGTACAAAGAAGAAACTTTGAAGAGAATTTCTGTATGATGTTTTATGATAAAAGTGTAATAAGGCTGTGGAATATAAAACACTGCTTTGTAAGTCATATTAAAAAAATCCTGTATATATTGAAAAAGGATTTTGTTTATACAGAAATTCATAGCATATGGACACCCCCCTTCTTTCCAACACACAAGTCCTTTAAATTGAGTTGGACATAAAATGGATTATAAAAGCTACTCCATTGCTGTAATACTGTTGTAAATGTCTTCTTGAAAAGAACAAAAGCCACCAGTGGCTCTCAATAGTGAGGGCTCTCTGAGGACAGGATACAGACACAGCCTAAAACTTAAAAAAACCCAAACTTTCTGCTATGATAACACACTAGCACCTTACTGGGATTCTCTGTTTTAAAACACTAGAGAGAGCAATAAATAAATAAACTAGCCACCAACCCTCCCCACGCTGCTGAACAAGGGTAAAAGACCACCATTATAATAAGGTATCTGTTTAAAAGTTTTAAACTAGTCAACTGAAATTCACCTTGCCCAGGTTTTTTAAGGCAAAAACAATGAAAAAAATTAAGGTAAGGCAGTTGGTCCCTACCAGAACTTCAAATTCTACTGCTTGTCTATTTAGCTAAATTAAAAACAGAACTATAAAAGCAATTAATAGTTTAGAATTATCTTACAGAATCTGTCCCAAGTGAGCTATGGGAGACTCCACTTTCACAACACCTTAACTATTACAGCCTATAAAGATTAACTTTGAGATGCATCTTTTAAGGAAGGGTAGCTATCTTTCTCTTCATATTTAATTCACAGAAGAAGTAAAAATATTTTACAATAGCTGGAGAATGTGAAGAGGAAATAAATGACCTCTCTTTTAGGGCTCACTTCACTCCATTTTTGATAGATTTATAGCAGGTAGCTTACACGGTAAAAGGAATCTCACTCAACCTGTCTCTGCTATAGAATTTGCATCATCCCACAGCAGAAGATAAACACCTAAAAGCAACTCAGCTCTTCGGTGAACTTCAGACTATGACATTAAATTAAAAAAGGAAGGAGGGAAGAGGAAAAACCAAGGTTCTGATCTTCATTTAGTAAGCCCTCATTCTTTTAGTAAACAGTGATATAAATTAATATTCTAGTTCAGAGAACTCAGATGTTTCATGTTTTAATCCTTGTACAGGGTATTTACTGTGACATGTTGTTCAGTGCAGTGCCACTGAAAGTAATGCAGCCTCTGGTAGAAACTAGAGGTAAGCTGGAAATACACTACTTCAAAGCAACTGGTGGGAACCTGAAAATAATAATGTGAATCACACAATTTGTCTTCTCAACCTGGATCCAACATGCAAGAGATATAAACGCATATATTTAAACCACATTCTGTGGAAAAAAAAATGAAAGCTTTAAACGAAGTTTTCAGATCATTACTGACAAGTGACAATCAACAGGGACCTGCACATTTAATATACGGGTGTTCCTATTCCATTGCATTCCTCGTCTTCTGTTGGAGGAAAGGTGCCAGGACACAGCGACGGTCCTGGGGAGCCCTCTAGTGCTTTTCCCCAGCTATTTAACAACGATTCACAGACACGGCTCCGTCTAGGGAGCTGCTAAGAACTATTAACCTTCTACTGTTTAATCCCTGTGTTTGATAGCTTTGTCATTATTTTTAAAGCACTCAGATGAACCTTTCAGAAACCACATACATGACAGTGACCAAACAAGACGTTTCATTCAGGCTTAGCACAGGTAAAAATGCTACAGTCCTTTTCCCTGCCTCTCCTGGGTATGCCATGAAGCACTGTATCAAAACAAAGCCTGTAAACCTCTGTTACAGCATATAGTTTGTACACAAATCATTTCCCTCCTTACAGTCTTGTCTGAAAACATCTAGCCCCATGCAGAGAGCGGCCAGAAACTTAAACATTTGTTTCAGACCATTTGAGTAGTTAGGCTAATAAATCCTAGGGAACAATAGTTAATTCTGAACACTGATTCATTACCAGCTTATAAACTGTGGGTTTCCTTAAAACATTCCCATTGGGCTTCTTATTCTAGCATTGAGAAAGCAGGGAAAGGACAGAAAGAACATATGAATATCTGCACTGGAGGAGGCCAAAGTTCTCATCTACTCTAGTATCCTTTCTCTGACTATGGTCAACAGTTCAGGTTGTGGAGAGAAGAACAGAAAGATGACAGGGTTTGAGTGATGCTTCTTTCAGTGTGCCCTGCACGCTCCTGCTGCTGTTTGCATTAGGGATTTCATCACTCAAGTTTTCTGTCTGCATCTGTCTGCATCTGTCCTCTCTGACTAATTTATCCAAAGAGTTTTCTAAAATCACTTTGATCCTCTTAACACAGCACAGCAGTAAGTTTCACATCCCACTCCTGTGTTATGTAAAAAACTTTAGTTCTGCAACCTGTTGCTTAATCATTTTCTGAATGCCTCGTCCCTGCCACTCACAATTTTATAAACCTCTCCCGAGCATAAGTTACTCCGTACTTTTAACCCTTGTAACTATTTCATAGTTCAAATACACACATCTTGGAAACAACACATTTCCAAGGGCTTTGTGGCATGTTCTTACTTTAGAAAGACTCTCTGTTTCCTAAAAGAAAGAAATACAAAGAAATCGAGAAAAAAAAAAATACAAAGAGCAGAAGTGTTTCTTTTAGCAGTAACTAGATTATTTCACATATTACCAAAAGACAATTACTTCCAGAAGACCTTATAGAAAGAAAACTAGGAATAAGTCTTAGAAACACACTTGAATGCACTAATCCTTCCCCCTACACATGTGTGGGATCTACTCTTCAACTGCAGCAGCACAGTAAAATTCGAGTGGTCATGACAGCTGTAAAAGTAGCAAAGGATCAGTTCAAACTGGCCCCACTTCTTTTTTATTTCTCTGAGACACATTAGGCCATCTGTAAGTAGAGGTGTAAATCTCTGGAAATATGTGAAAGGAATAAAAAAGTGCAGGTTTCTTTCCTCATCTTCTTCTTGGGGTTGAGTGTTTTTTGTTAAGGTTTTAGAGATTGAAAAGAAAAGCACGCTATAGAAGAAATTGAAATATTATTAGCAATTACTCACTTCTTGAAAAAAACCCACATATAACCTTACATAAAGCATTGGAAGCAGTACTAATATGGTACAAAATAATGTATGTTGTTTATTTACAAATTACAAATGTAACTACTATTAAAATACCAGTACCTGCAACTAAGTTTTAAAGCCTTACTTACACAGGACAGCTCAAATTTTTATGTGAAAAGCCTTGAACAATGAGCACAGCTGAAAAGAATATACGTGATGATATCAGCATCTCTGGGAAATTACAGACAAAACAAATATCTGACCTGTGGTATAATACGCTGTAATTGTCTACTGTTACGTCTTTTAAAGTACAATAAACTTTAAATAGTTTCTATGGAATGAGTTATTTGCAGCAATGATTTAAGGTTCTGAACATACTTCTCCTGTGAGAAAATGTTGGGGGTTTTTGTTCGTTTCTTGATGGGGGAGATTAAGAAACAGGAAGAAAAAAGACTGAATTGTCAGTTACTCATTCTCATTTTCCAAGCTCACATCTCCTCTGTGACAATCCAGCATTTTATTACACAAGTTACTATCTGAGCTTGCTTCCAATAATAACTATATATTAATTTTAGCAGACATTGTGATTATGAACCTTGGTCAGTGGTCTGCTCCTTTCCTTTAAAAAAGTAGGATTTAGACACTACAGGGCTTAGAAATCAGAGAAAAAAGTTTCAAGGAGAGTATATAAACATGCAAATAACTAGCAGAAGAGAAGAATAATTAGTTTGGAACTATTTATTCACCTGTTCACAGCTATTAGTGGGAAAGTAAGAGAATAGTAAAATACTGTCATGAAGAAGCCAGACAGAATTTGTGCATTAAGTTGGATTAGATCATTGCCCTCTGTAGTCAGCAGTCAACAAAGACCTTCCCTCTGGAGCTAAGCTATTCAGTGTGGTTATATATCTTTTCATCTTTCATAGCAGAACTGCTGTTCTGAAGAAAGCTACTGCTAAAAAGAAGCATATTTATGTTTAAAAGATAGCCATCAAATTTATAAGACAAAACAAAACCAACAAAACAGAAGACAGCTGGGACATTATTTGGAGAAACTGGAAGTGGTTACTTCATTTACTGAAAAGCAGGAGGAAACACTGGTAAAATCCAGCACAAGTACTGGGAACAGCAGGCAGACATGGAGGGAAACTGTGAGGGAAATGGGAAAGAGCTGAGGAAACTGGTATTGGAAGCTGGTATTGGAAATATGAAAGTATTGCAATGGGAGCTGGAAAGCACTTGGATGGAATCAAAAGGAAACTCACAATAGTCTTGGTGCAACTCATTTAAAAGTCGTATTGATTCCAAATCTATCTAAATTTAGGCTTCACTTCGTTGAATATGTACTTGTGGTCAACTTGCTATTGTTACTCAGATTACTTCAATTATTTTTATTTTGATTTCCAGGCATAGCTAGCTGCAGGTCAAAACATATTTGACTGGTGTCTAAAATCACACCTTAAAACAAAAACACTCAGAGCAGAACTCCTCTCCCAGCAGCCTCTCCAGATAGCCAGTTTAACTCCTTCCCCTCAGAGCAAGGGGAGAGCGATTCAAAAGGACTCAGGGAAGCAAATATTTGATTTAGGGGTGGACATTCAAGAAAACATTCCTGGATGAAGATAACTCCCCTCCCCCTCCAAGAAAGCAGAGTAAATTCAGCAACTGCAGGTTGCAATTCACATGTGGATTGAATGTGATACTGTCAAAGACTTTCAAATACTCATACCTTGTGCCAAAGTTCAGGTTAGTGACTTCTATGATCTTATTAAAATAAATAAATAAATAAATAAATAAATAAATAAATAAAGCATGGCATAATGTTGCACTCTAAGGTTTACCATTTAACGGCATAAATGTTAACAACAGTGTCAGTCAAACTGAAAGGTTTGTTGAACCTCCCACTCCCTGCCTTTTCCCCACCCTCCTAACCCAAAAGAGGTTTCTGGAATTCATACACACTTAGAAACATACTTACCAAGGCAAGTATAAAGACCCTGACTTATCCATGCTAGTATAGCAAGGGTGATAAGATCTCCAAAACTTGCTGCTATAGGAGTGGCAACATTGTCAGGATTAATACCAGTCTTCTTGGATCCAACAATAACTCCAACCATTATTATCCCTAAATTCAGCAAAGAAGACAGTACAGTAACTATATACACTGTTTTAATTCCACAGAAAATTCCAAGACTACAGTAATTTCAAACTTAATAAATAAGAAGTCAGTGCTTTTGCCCCAGGATGATTGTTCTTCCCACCTGAGTGATGACTGTATTTTTAAGTTTTAGCTACTTTAAAAATGGAGTTATATATTTAAAAAAAATACAGTAAGCACACAAAAAACAATCAAGAACTTTCATGAACTACTTTGCTTATGACTAGAATTATCACTATTGAAATTGTAAAGCAGCCATTTCCTGAAGAAAAAAATATTCAGTGTATTATTTCCAGATCCTAATAACTTCTACTTGCTGGAATTTAAATCACCATAGGATGAAAACAATGTAAGATTAAATACTTTGACATCTGATATTGTGCAAGACTGTGCATGGACTTAGCACCAAACGCCAAGATGGTACATAATAAATTAAAAACAAGACAACATATAGAAAATCTTACTTGCCACACAGCTAAAAAAAATTAAATTAAAGGTGTTGGTTTCTATTTTTTCCCATAAACAGTAACACTAACTGTTAAGAGACATCTCCCTGCAGAATACAAGTGGCTACAAAATATAGAATTCACATTGTTATCAACAGTCTTTGGCATAACCTGAGTAACTTCCCTCTCATCATACATTATACATAAGAGCTTTAACTGTGTACACTGTCCTTTATGTTATATTACGTATCCTAGGTTACATCAGGAGTTCACTTTCGAGAAACTGCCTAAAGAATTATGCACCATGAAATTCTCAAAAGAAAGAACTGAAGTGATCCTGTAGGATCACAATATCTCAAAAGCACCTATTTCACGTGTAGGAAAATGAAGCTTAGAAAGCAATTTCCTGTGCTGGCCCATCACCAGGAAACAACAAAAGTTTCTCTTTATGCCCAAGTCACACATGAGAAGTGGAAAAAATACACTCATGTTCCCCAGTTCTCTTGTTGCCCTTAATTCTGCACATGATCAAACTCAATGACTTTGAAGTCATTAAAAAAACATGTGTGGTCTTAATTCCACACAAAACTTTAACAATTTCGTAATTTTCTCATAAGTAAGCATATCAAATTAGTAAAACAAGGAAGTTACCCGTTTTACTTGACTCACTATTCTTATTACTACTGACTATGTATTTTCAGTAAGAACATGTCACAAGTAGAGGTACTTTCCTCCTCCCCTTCACATCCATTAAGAACAGTCTTTTATGGTTAAATGTTTCCTGACAATTAGAAGAGAAGATTAAATTCATCATGCCATATTGCTCCAGACAGATACTGGCACTGTTTGTATAGTGGGATTTGAACTTGGCCCAAACCCTTCAAATAATGAGCCAACTTGTTTACTTCAGATACAAAGCAGAGCACAAACTAACACATAAGCAGCATGGGCAACCTGGAACTTTGAATTCAGCTAAGCTAACATCCAGGCTCACTTAAGTTTAATTACAAATAAGTTTCACCTGCTTAGAACTAAGAATATATTTTGTACATTAATGAATACAGAAAGCATTGGGAAAAGTTCTTCATCATATCAGGTGAAACCTAAACCCCATACTTTTTGGTTTAGATATGCTCAGGAGGCCATGAAAATCAAAAGCTTTTGAAAGAATATGACAGAAGAGAAATGCAATATACCCACCTATATGGAAATTGCAAAAGGGCATCCTATCCTCTGCTGGTCTTCAGATGTATTATCCCTGACCAGATTGAAATTTTTAAGGAATAGCAACATAATACACATTCAGCATCCACAGAAAGCTAAATAAGTGCAAAAAGCAACACATGTACTCCACTTACCTTGTAAAAGAGAAGCTATGAAGGCAGTTGCTACGCTGCTAGAACACAAAAGGACTGAGTGATCAAAGCGGTATTTGCCCTCTGGAATCCAGCCCAAAATAACTGCTGCCACTGCTGCCAGAAAACCAACTACTGTTGCCTGAACCTGGAAAAGAAAAAGAAGGTGAACAATTCTTAAAATAATTGACAGACTCAGGAGGACTACAGAATACTGTTCTGTTATTCTTTCCTCCTATCTACATCTACATGCACGGTATAAAAGGAGCAAGCTCATCCATTTTGTAGAGATGATGACAACCTTGGGTGACGAAGAATAAAAATCTCAGGCCAGTAGAAAAAGCTTTACCATCCTTTTAGAGACTCCAGATAGCAAAAGTAGAATCAGGGAGAGGAGTTCAGGATTTAGGAGAGGGTAATGCCTAAAGAGGCTCCTAAATCCCTTAAAACAGTGAAGTCACAGAATAACTTTCACCTCTGAGCATGATATGTTATAACATATGAACAAGAAACAGTTTTCAATCTTAAAAAATAGTTGGTTTGGAGAACAATCACTCCTTTCCTCAAGTGACCCAGCTATTTGATTATCCATTTGATTATCTACTGTTGATTATCCAAAAGCTCTATCACATACTTCCTTTAAACATTGAATACAATGCAAATACAGTACTTGAAACATTTGAAAGGTCAATTTGAAAAGGTTTCGCCAAATCTGAAATTTTTCTCTAATCATCCGCAGATCCTCTCACAAAAAAAATTAAAAAGGAAATGCCCTTGGTACAGTCACAAAAAATACTTTACCTTTCTTCTAATAAATAGAAACTCATACTGTTTTAGAGAAGAGCAACACTGTATACAAAAAGTAAAAAAATCAAGCAAACATTGTACAGTAAGTACAAGCCAGCATGGCAGAGCTAGTTTCCCATTAACACTATCCATCTCCATACTTACCAATTTTGTGATCCGACTTTTTCAATAACATGGCTCACTTACAAGATTTAATCAAATTAACCTCTTATATTTACCTGTTTTAAGGCCAAATTGCCAATTATTAGGTTCCATTTCTCAATGGGAGAATCCATTTTTCCAATATTTACCTATCAAAATCACAAAAAAAAATTCAGACAATTGAGTTTAAAATTCCATTACCTGAAAATGCACTAACAGGGCAGAAACCCATAAATAATTCAGCTGATACAATAAAACAGGCATTTCTATTGAAAGCAAGCCATATTTTTTCCAAGTCTAGCATTGTTTTTGATTTTAAATTGTACTTAGAGTATCTTTCAAAAAGCAGCTAAACTTGATGCAGTTTTACATAGTAACTTGTTTAACATTAGCTTACTGTGCAAGATATACTGGCTACCTCACATTCCAGGAATGTCCAAGCACCACCAGTGATTGGATCAGTGGTTAGAAGATCCCTTTCGACTGAACTTGTTTCTATGGTCCTTAAATTCTGAAAATAAAAAATGCTAAAATCTAATACTGTTTAGCATTCTAACTTTTCCTTTATACAATACAGCCAGAGACTTATGATGCTGTAAACAACTTAAGTCCAGTACTAAGGTGGAAAGACAGCAAATAAATTATTTTAAGAAATTAAGAAGTACATACATACTCTTTTATAATGTATTTCCTCTTTTTACTCTTTTTTTTTTGAGTTAGAGGATGAGATCAGAATAGTACAAACCACTGCAGTATGATTGTTCAAAACAACTTCCTTTTTGAGATAACAGAATGATTTTTTTACATTTTGAGCATAAATTTTAGTGGGTTTTTTTCCCCATGTAATATTAAATAGGATAGCATACTTCTCAAAACACAGACAGTCTTCACGCATATCTTTTTCATCTTTTGATAATTTCTTTTCAATAGATTTCAATTCAATTTCTTCTTCACTTTGTGATAGTAGTGACTTGCATGGAACAAAGTACTAAAATAAATGCTAATTGAAAAACTTAGAAATATACTAAGACACTCCACCTCAATTTATATTATGAATATAGTGTTCAAAGTAGAGTCAAAGCTCCACAAATACATCCATTAAGTTTAGACAGGACAACAACGTTTCACAAAGTGCAGATAAGAATCTCCTTTGCATCCTTCTTAGATACATCTGCTAAATGAACAAAAGGACAGGCTATGGAGAGCTTCACTCTTTCTCTCCCTTTGAAGAAGTTTTGAAAAAGCACCCAAAAAGTCCTGCTCAAACAGTAATCCTGCAAAATGCTTAATCCAGCCTAAAAGTGAGCTGCTGCCAAATGCCATGGTTCTTCTTTCCCCTGCTATCAGCTACACGTTCACATTTTCTTTCTTGAAACAGGTCGACCAACTCCGTGAATGAGTTCATGGCAACATGAATTTCCTTGCTGGTTTGATGGAAAACACTTTTTTTCAGGGAGCAAAAAGGGGTTTATCTTCTATAAAATTATCTGGTCCATCACACACAACTATGTAACCGTGCACAACAGCTTTCAGGGTTTGGGAGAGAGAAGGAGCAGGACCACTCCTTGCAGCTGCAGATTTCCATCAGGTAGGATCAAGTTTATTGTGATACTGTGAAATGAATGGGCCTAAATAAAACGTTTGTAAAGTCAAGTTGCTAATGCCCAACCCTGATAACACACAGTCAAAAAAAAAGAGCCTGCACAAGTTTACAGGACTGAAATGACTGAATAAGAGGTGTTTTGGTGTTGGTTGGTGGGTGAGGAGGTTTTTTTCATTGGTTTTTTGGGGGGGGTTAGTTTGGTTTTGTTTTTTTAACTTAAAAAATGAAAAAGAAATAGGGAGAAAAGGCAACCGTGTAAACTGAGACAATGAGAATGACCCAAAGAACAGAACAAAGCTGAAAAGCTGGAGAACAGAAAACAAAATATAAAATAAATATTATGCTTGAATGGGTAGCTGACCTAAGTGCACTCACACAGTTATGCCAGGACAGCAGTGGGCAGAGGGAGAAGGGCTTACAGAGGCAGAACTCCAGAAACACTTGGTTTGCTCTTTGTTGTCTGTATTCTACACATGAAGGAACTTCTCGTGGAATAAAAATTAATGTTTTAAAAACAGCAGGCTGTAAGATAGCCAGTGTATGGAGAGCTAACACTAACAACAAAGAGAAGTCCAAGCTATGCCCTGAGGTAGATTAAAAAGAGAGTCTTGAGACAGATTTAGTGAAATAACTGATTCTAAAGTGGATGGGAAAATGAGTGATCAGTAAGAAGCAGCTAAAGTAGGAATTTGGGCAAGAAGATGAATGAAAGTGACAAGACTTGAAATTAGATATACTACAGACAACAGAAACTTGCTAATACGACACTAATTTTTGGCTGACCACATAATTACAATGAAGATAATTAGTTAACAGCCCCAAGAGCACAGACATGTCTACAAATGCAGATGCAATTCTAAGCTAAGTGAGCAAGCAGGGTATGACTTAACTCCAGTGCTGAACTCACGTTAGAAATTTCCTTCTCAAAAGGTAAAGCTAGTCACACGTGTACAGTCTTGTATTTACTTAAAGAAAAGTGTCTGATGGGGAGCCAGATAGTGTAAATTTAGGTGCAAATTAGAGAAGGAAATACTAATCATACAACTGGCCCCTAAATAACTGTTTAGATATACTCAGAATTAATATTCTCCTTTCATTCTCACCTAGGTTGAGGATGACAGGATCAAAGGCTGGGTGGCTAAAGAGAGTAGGGGGGTCAATGAAATCAATGTGAAGAATGCAAAGGTCAGAATAGTCCCTTTCTGAGAGAAATGGCATGTAAATTGCAGGTCTAGTGGTCTAGAGTTTTCGATGAAACCCTCCAGTAGGTAATGATACAATATGACACAGGACTTGTTTTTAAAACCTGGAGGAGGCAAAGCAATGAAGGCAACTGCCCTGGAGTTAATTAATTAATATCTGCTAACTAAGCCCAAGCCACCAAACTAGAAGTAGTTACCTGTAACAGTTCTCCACAGCTTGGGGGGTTTTTGTGTTTGTAGTTTGAGGTTTTTGTTTGGGATTTTTTGTTTGGTTTGGGGGGTTGTTTATTTTTTTAACTAACAATTAGAAAAATTAGAGTTCTTGTGTATTTGTTTGCCTTTGCAGCAGTACCTGGGGGGAACTGGGCTGGCAATCCACCAAGTCACAGACCTGTGCACGTTGTAGCTGGTGCTGAATGTGAAAAAGACACAGGAGACAAAGCTGGAAGGTTGTCTACAAGATAAAAACCTCCCTTTCATTTTTGTTTTTTGTTTTCTTTTTGACATAAAAAAACCTAAATATAATCTTAACATTACCTGGATAAGGAACGATCTATACTGTTCTTATTTTGTAAACTATTGTTCCTTAAACCTTCCACTGTGTTGTGCACACGCACATGCACTCACACACTCTACAGTATTTATGATGAGCTCTTCACTGGCAAGAACAAATTAGAGCCACCACTGGCAAAAGAGAGAACATTCACCAAACTCTAACAAGCTTCTACCGCCTCCCTGTGAAGGATGTCCAATGAACTTCTGACTAAGGAAGTCCTGGAAAGTATTTCAATTACCTTTGTAATTTGGTCCATGGTCTGTCACGATTCTTGAAGAAAACAGGTCGTACAAGGAAATTCAAGGCATTAGAAAACAAACAACTGAATAACCAAAAAAACCCCCACAAGTCTGTTGATGCAAAGCTGGGTGCCAATAGTGCTGTGATTGGGCAATACCAAAGAAATTGGAACTCCCACACACCACAGAGCACTGTCGGAAGACACGTACACTTCACTGATCTCTTCTTAGCCAGTTAATTAACCCTCACAGTAGAAGGACGTGAACAGAACTGGCTAACCTGATTTGGACAAGATAGATGTATGACAATTTCTGGTACTGGGATGACAGGAAGCCCTCATGAATAAAAACTTGAATAAAAACTTCTGAAGCATCAACTGATTTATGTCTTGATGAGACTTAATGACAGTGGTAAGCGGCACTTGTAACACTCCTCAAACAAAGTCTTCTCAATATTGAATTGATTCTTGGTAGGAGCTTGAGGTTCAAATGGCCAAATTGGCTCTGAAAATCCACATTCAAGACATATTGAAGAAAACATTTAGTGCACCCTTAACATACAGATCATGTTATCCCAGTTACTGGGATACTCTTAAGAATTCCATTTTGGCCTGAGGGGAGTGGCCTGAGACTCATGATGCCAACTTTAGTTTACCACCAGACATGCAGCCCGTGTTGTGGAAACTCCAGTATCTTTTATTTGTGTTTATCTTCAAGAGGGAGATCAGCTCCTGCTTTGGTAACAGCTGGGTGGATAATAAGAACTGAGGTCAGGAGTCCCAGTGCAGAAAAAGGGTCTGCATGACCCTTTTCCAAATGTCCCCTGAGAACAGTGATGTTCACAAACAAGATGGGGATGGTAAGGGTGGGGAATTCAGCCCCTGACTGACCCAGAGAAGTTCTAGAGTTGTGATCTGGCGAAGGTCATAAGCTCAACTGAGACAAAAAATTAAAGATCCCATTAACTGAAACAGAAGTGGTGAAGCTGATTCTGACCCTCTTTTTTTAAAGACTTCAGTAGGGCACTGGTACATCCTGGACTTGGTGTATTTTTCACTATGCAATACAAGCACTTTCAATCCACAGGTCATGAACTGTACCAGTCAGAAACAAATTCAGCAACAGGTCAACAAAATAAAAAAGGTCAGGTAAAAGGCAAAAGCATTCATGCCTGACCATAAAGGCAGTAAGGTTCAAACACAAAATACTGTTAAGAAACAGTAAGAATACTCAGAAAAGTAAGAGTAATAAAATCAAACAGAAAACAAGACTGAATAGTTAAGGCTGACATGGATAAAGATACAACAAAACACATCAATTCTTACGTAGGAAAGTAATCAATTGCTATAATGGGCATGACACAAACAAACCTTCACAGGACTGCCAAGGCTACGTCCATCACAATGTGTATTTGGGTAACAACTCAATAAAATGTGGCAACGACATTTGTTAATGATAGAACAACTCAGAGACCTTGTCAGTACAAAGCGTTGTAGTATCATAGAAAAAATGAACACCCTTGAGCATCACAGCAACAAAACCAGATGAAATTCAATAGCAGAAATGCAAGGTCATGCACTTATGGACTAATAATATTTCTGCCAGAAGATGGGAGTGACAGCTGGAAAAAAACAAAAGCATAAATACTAGGTCACAGTCATGCATCACAAAGTGACTGTGAGGTCCAAACCTGACACTTCTAGGCTAGTAAAGACATATAGACCTAGAAAGTTTCAAGAGCAATATTCTACAAGACATAGTAAAATCTCATCTGGAGTTACATACACCTTTGACCAGACATGTTCTAGAAAAATTTATTCAGGAACAGGCAGAGATCCTGCTGGAGAACAGAAACCCTGCACTAGGCAGTGTCTTAGACAGAGGTGCAGTTCACCTCTCAGAAATAGTTTAGCCACACTTTTAGACTAATCTATTCATTACAATTATTCCCATACACACAAAAGATATATAGTAAGCTACTCTGGCTTGCTTAGCCTAAAAAATTGGAGAGATGGAACATCCCCTGAAATGTAAAAAAAAGAACTATAACAAATACATAAGAAAGCACAAAGAAAAAACCTGGTTATGCTACATTATAGTGTTGACACACACAAAAAACAAGGAGACACAAAAAAATCCCAACCTGACCACAACAAAAAATAAATAAATTTATTTAGCCAGAAAGCTAAAAAAAAACCAAAACATTTCTTGCAGTTTGATCAACAAAGGTTTGGAATAGCAGTGTTACCAATGCTTTGTTTTGCTGCCACTCAAGGGGTCTTTAAAACATAAACATTTTACTAGCCTATTCAAACTCCCTCAAAGCCAAAGATATCTCTCAGCCTTACAGAATAGACATGTAAATCTTAAAAATCTACTTTATCTGTTCTAAATGATGACTCAGGAAAGACTTTACAGAAGTAAAGTTTTGATGTGTGGAGAAGAGGGTCACCTTTTTAACTTTGCAAACTTAATAACAGATTTCAACAGCCCTGTAAAAGCCACATGAAGTCATAAACATAAAACACTTGTGTCCCGAAAATTTGTTTCTTTGTTTCCATTTTGAAATATATTAAACATGTATCCAAAGAGTGAAGGGAAAGAGAAAGTTACTTACAGCAGTTGACAGCCTGGATGCCAAGGTCATTTCCAAATTTCCTTTGAGACCAAGAAGTGCAGGAACCAAGATAAAGACTTCAGTAACATTCTTGAACACATCCCAATGCTATATAAAGGATACAGTGGGAAAAACTTCATTGAAAAATTCCCTTTAGACCATCCCCAAAGTATTCAAAAAAATCTGTAAATCATAACTTAATCCTCTTTAAAAAATATTTAACCTTTTTATCTTAGACCTGTAAGTCTACAGTCAGAACTGTTACTTATTTAGATAAAACAGATTTATGACTGCATATTACTATTTCAAAGATGAGAAGACTATCAGTAAGAGATACAAAACTTGGCCTTAAAACAAATCTAGTTAAAAAAAGACGTCATTAATTTGAAACGGGGGGATTTCATGACTTTAAAATAGTACCAGATACTCTGACTGCTCTTGAATTCTGGTCTTAATTTTCAACAATAATTTTATCTTCTCCCTTCCAGCTGTGAAGAAACCTCACATAAAACTACGTGAGGTTTTTTTTCACTTACAGGCTTTGTTCGTACAACTAATTCCCTGTTGGAAAGCTTGTCTTTATTCTTTTACCTTTAAGTGTGAAATTTACAGGACTAGTTTTCCTAGACCCCGATTTTTAAAGCAAATTCTCTTAGCTTTTTGTGCAGTAAGTTTTCAGCACTGAAATGCTATGCTACTTTGTATGTCTTGTCAACCCATCTATTTAATTTATAATCATTTACCAACTTCAACAGAACTAACAAAACTGTAAATTGGGTTTGTATTCATGGATTTGCAAACATTTAAATTATAATTTTAATTAAAATAAAAGGATTTAATTCTCAAATGTAAACAAGACCTGAGAACTACCTGTATGTGAAATTACATAGGTATTTACTACTGGGAAAGAATAGTATGAAAGAGATTGTAAAAACCAAGCTTAGTATGCTTTGTTGTATTCAAATTTTCATTTTTAAAATATGTTCTGTCACATTTCAAAATTCTGCTTTACTGACATCAAAGTTTACTGTTTAGTTTAATGTGAATAAAGATAGTACTGACACTAGCTATTTATTTTTACCTTTGTGTCACATCCCTCTCATTCATAAGGAGCTGGACCAGGAAACCAATAAAGATTAAAAGTAATATGGAGGGAAAAATCAAGATTTATCTCAGTCCACCTCAAAAACAAGGAATAAAACCACATTTCCTTAATGGAAGGATGAAAAGATGAAACATTTGGTTAGAAGTCAGTAGTGACAGTAGGCACAACTGTCTCTCCTGTCTGATCCTCATGGTGTATCATGCAGAAAATCATATATGAATGAAGTACAAACAAAGCATCTGTACAAACAATAAATTGGTAAGATGTACATGAACAAAGCACAAGATTGGTGTAAAGCTGCCCAAGGAAGAAGTAAAGCTTGCATGTCAACTTTTATTTTCCTTTTTCTTGAGGTAATGAAGTGCCTTTTCATTAAAATTGACTGAAGTCCAAGATTCCTTTAATCTCTCAAGATTTTGAGTGACAGTGACCTTTAACTTTATAAACTCTTTAAGTGTAGCTAAAGAAAATTCTAAAGCTAAATGAAACAAAACCAATAAAAAGCGGGGGGGGGGGGAAACCTACACAGATTAATTTATGTACTGCATTTCCATTTAAATATTGTGGTTATTTCGAACTTTTTAATCATTTTTTGTGAATCTGCTTATACAGGAAGAGAGAGAATCCATGAGGCTTATTTATAAGAGATACCTGATCCTTAAAAAACAAATTAGGTATGAAATAAAAGTCAATATAGTCTTTAAAATGTAAAGAGAAGGCAAGAAAATTAGTTAGTCCAATAAACTTTTCTAAACTGTTACTCTCTGCAGAATTTTCTTCAAATATCACTGCACAAAGAGTTCTTTCATAGGCAACTGTTACTTTTAACTCCACTGAAATGCTGCTGACATCTACAACTGTTATGCCAGAAACCAGCCCTGAAAACATTCTGTATCAGTAGGGTCTTATTGATACAATACTCCAAAACAGGGTTTAAAAACATTATTAAACTTTATCTTAAGACTGAGAGAAAGTTCTATTTTACCTTCGCCCCGAATAGCTACTGTCAGTTAAATTAGCTACCACAAACCACGATAATCTGGCCTCTCTGGGCCTGTTACACTGATATTTTGAGGTGGATGTGACTTTGCAGACCTGTTCACACCACTGATGTTCACAAATCCAAGTGTTCAGCATACCTTCTGTTATATGAAAAAGTCCCTTCAACACACCTGAATATTCAAAAAACCCTCTAAATCACTTCATATGAATTTCATATAACATATCCATGTAATGCACATTTTCACATGCCATATGTATTTTCATGGACCAAATCTACACAGTATTTCAGAAATTGTACAGACTTGAATCACACAAGGAGATGTAGTGATGCAATACATACTTCTACTCTTTTTAAACACCTATGTGCTTCAGGATTATGGTTAATTACAGCTCCCACTTGAACACATTTATTAGTGTTAACAGAATTTTGAACCATTATTGTATTTCTATCAGAACTACAGACCTCACAGACTATCTGTTAAAAAGGAAAATCTTCCAAAGCAAATACCAACCTGTACAATATCCAAAACCATGCCAGCAGAAACCGTTCCAAATCCTGCTAGCAAAAAAGGTACAAGTATCTGTAGTGCCATAATACTACTAGATTCTTTGGGCTGTTTTCTACTTCCTTCCACAATGATATCTTCATTACTGTCACTAGACAGATTGTCTTCCTGCAACATGGCATCTGTTTCTGAAGTATCCAATCCATCACAATAATTATAACTGGTAAAATCATCATATTTAGGGCTACAGCTAGAAGGGCTGTGTCCATTGCTACCATGATAACTTGGTTCTGAGAAGTGATGGTACTCTGTGTGTTGCTCGGGCCTAGCATTAAAATTGTGTCCTGCTGGCTGCAATCCATCTTGCCAGACACCGTTCACTTTTTTGTGTCTTTCGTCTTGGTTTATTTGGTAAACAACAGGAACCATACTTAAAAGCAGCCTCAAAAATTTATCAGACTGAATTGTATTAAGATTTATGGTCCAGTTTACAAAGCCTTCTCTGTCATGGACTTTGCTATTTGTTTTGAAGACGGTAGATCTGCCTTTACAGTTAGTCATAGTGCTACAGAAATACAGGTTGAAAAGCGCTTCGTTCTTCAGATGTCAGCAAAGAAACCTTGTAGGTGAGTCATCAAGTGCCACACTTACACATGGACCCAAATGTTCTTTTTTTGCATGCAAAAGTGTTTTTTCACTGCTCTCAGATCTTCAACGATTCCATAAGCAAGACTGGATCTGCAAAAGAATTAAAAAGTATATATTCAACCTTTAAAATACTGTAACTCTGCATAATATGCGAGATACTGGTTTAAATATTCAGATCACCCGGTATCCTTCCAAAGCAAGTATTTATAGAAACTTCAATCTCCTCCAACACTTAACTGCCTAAATTGAAGGAAATTAGAAGGTAAAAAGGCAAAGTTGATGGGTGATGAAGTTTCACAACCCTGTACACTTTCCAGTGAAAGAAAGAGACAGCAGTGTGGGCTGTAAATGAACCGGTGAAGGTCCAGCTTTCATCTTCTTGAAGGCCAGAAAGCCAAAATCTTCAGGCAGACACTGTGTAGCCCCAGATTTCAGTGGCCTTGGAGGCAGTATTTCTGCAAAGTGTAAGGGTAGGGACAAATGGAACCCACATGATGCACAGCAGGGCCACTGTTGCTCCTCACACTCTATGCTAACAGCAAAGAGCCTGGGAAAAATAAGGGGAAAAAACCCCAAAAAGCTTCCAAAACACATCAGAGGTGGCAAGCCCAAAGCAATATTCTGGGTAACAAAGGCCTTATGTGTTGACAGTCCCAGCCCTCCATCCCTATAAAAAGATGACAAATCAATATTAGCAGGTAAAATTCAAAATCACCCTAATTTAAAACCTTAACAACTGATTTTTCTCTGAAGCAAATATAATAATTAGGTTAAATATAAAATACTATAATATCAAGGAAAGAAGACAGTAATGATATTCAGAACAATTAGTCTAAAATACTTTAGTGTAAAAAATAAACCTAGTGTACTCATAATTACACGAGAATCTAAACTAGAAAAATAAGGGTTATTAGGATAATTCAAATAAAGGGATTAAAAATCTTAATTTAATTTTGCATGAGGTGTAGGTTGCAAATATTTTCTGAAAAAATAGGTTATTCTGATGTCTAATAATCACTAAAATATAATTATTTGATCAATACTAACACTAGATGTACTCAGTTAGTTTTGCTTTCTGCAAACCATAGAGACACAATCTTTTTCCTTTACTGTGACTTAATGTGCAGTTGTTTCTGCTTTCACATTTCCATCATGGTAGGAAATTAAACAAGGATATACTGACAGTCTCAAGTCATTTCCCATTTCCTCCATCAGAAGCAGCTTTACCTTCCTTCTCTTCAGTTTTCATGCTGTGATAATAGTTGTGGTAAATTAACGAAAAGAACTGTCTTAATTTGACTTGAAGTTTTGCTGACTTCAGTATTTATTACTAGACTCCATGAATACAAGTAAATGATCAGCATAAACAAAGAAATAAAGTTCAAGCAGACCTACACCAGCATGATGTGGGATAACACAACTCCATAAGCTCATGGCACTGTATCTATGCAAAGCTGTGAAAACGTATTTTTACAGACTGCAGGAAATAAAAATATTTTAGAGTTGGAGGATTTTTAATCTGCATTTCCTGAGAAAATCAAGCTCCTAAGATCATACTGTTTATATTATGATCCCTACACTTTCATTCCCTCTGTTTTAACACTTTTAAGCCATCCAACATTTCTAGAGCAATTTCAGATAGACTTTACAGTGAGTGGAGACATCAAAGCTTTTAGCAACCAATAGCCTTGCAAGAGATCCAGATGTGTGCCTTTGCCCCAAGACATCTTCAAACATTAGTTAAGATTATTCACTCCTATATGGTCAGAGCAAGCCAACTTCAAAATTCCTGCTGCTCACAGTATTAGTTGGTTTGGGTTTTTTGAGTGAAGAGATGACTCAGGAGCAACATGATGATTTTCCCTCTGTCACTTGCTTTATCCAAGGGAGCTCTGACCAAGAAATGAGTATTTTAAAAATGACAATGAAGTTTATGGTCTGATTTAGGAAAAAGTTTTACAAGAAAGAGTAATCTTTTTTTTTCCACAAGATCAACAGAGGAGTTTAGGTAAGTAAGGTCTTTTGCTGCTCTGTAGCAGACTGCGCTACGTTGAACTTTTATGTGCATAAAAACTCCAAGGCCTCAATTCTGGTTTCCACACACTTTAATTAAATAAAAAAGCGACTTTTGCTCCTATCCCAGAGGAGCTCTAAGCACAGGCCAAAATGGTGCTCTTAAGTGCTACAAAGAGACAGAACAAGAAGAGGCAATTCTGTTTCTTCCAGGGCCAAGGGTGGGTTTATCTACGTAAAACAAAACAAAACAAAACAAACAAAAAAAAACCCCCATACATTAAAAAAATTACTATCAGAGCACACATAACAGTACACCATCAACCTAACCATTACTAACTTCTATGACAACAGCAAATCACTTTGCAGAAGGATTAGGAGGAATACAAGAGAAGAGAAGCTGATGGAAACTGAGGAAAATCAAAATTTCAGGAAGGGTATGGCCACAGGTGCTGAAGGCTGCCAACTGATTTACGATGATGGGAAGGGGCGCAGTACTTAGGAAGCTTGCTGGGGGAAAAGCTTTGGATCACTTGAGCCAGCTGAGTTTCAGCTGGTCACAAGAAACATCCAGATTAGAGAGACTTTACGATAGAATTAAAGAATGGGATGTGGAATTAAGATATAAAAGTTTTCATGATGAAAGACACACACTGAAACCCACAGCAACCTCACTGGGTTTTTTTGGAGGGGGGTATCTTTTTTAAGAGAGGGGAGGAGTAACAAATTAATTTTATTTCACGCACAGTAAAATACATTGAGAAAATTTTCTGATAGCTTTAACAAGGCAGAGCAGTCTGGCCCTCATTGTGGTTTCTCCCATATGTCCTCCAGTCACATCACCAGAGTGCTAGACCATGACTCATGGAACTGGAACTCCTGCCAAAAATATTTGTGTTCATTATCCATATATTTCTAAAATATGGATTTTTCTCCTTTTAAGTTTTTGGGTTTGTTTTTTTTTTTTTTAAGAAACAAATCTTTTGAGAAAATTATGGTTTCAATTTAATATGAGAAAGTGATAACAAATAGAAATGGCACTTAAAAGGAGGAAAAGAAAGGGGAACAGAAAAATTATTTGGTCAAATTCCAAAGGCAGGAAGATGCTAGCAGTTGAAGTATTATAAAGCAGTTTGGATGACAGTCATTTACGCTTTTTCTACCACAAAGATTTAGCATGACAAAAAGTGAACTAATAATAAATGCTGGAAAATGAGAATTTAAGAAGATAAATTGAAAAACATAGAATCACAAAACTGTTTAGGTTGGAAAAGTATAGTATAGTGTACAGTGAAGAGTAATTACTTCTTCAGAGCGAGCAGAAAGAAGATAACTACGAAGACTTTTGAAGGCAACTATTCATTTCTAAAAACCTGTTCCAACAAACATAATTTTCCAAATGTCAGTATTTTCATCCTAAGTTATAGGATGTTAATACTGCTGTACTTTTTCGGGGTTTTTGCACTCTACAAGATGCAGCAAACCATCCAAGAACTTCCTGAGAAGCTTTATCATCGACAAGAAAAATGCCTATGTTGTTGTGTTGTCTAGAAAAGATATGGGAGCTAAAGAAGAAAACTCTGCTGGAGTAACTCACGTGAAGAAAAGGCAGTTAAAATCTCAAAGATCAAGCAAAGGCAGTTAAAATCTCAAAAATCTCATCCACAGTCTCTGTAGGAACAGGAGATAAGTGAATCTGGTTTCTTGACATATAATCAGAAGGTTACAGAAAAAGGTGAAATACTAAAATTAAAAAAAAAACAAAAAACAAAGAGAGACAAAGATCCTTTGAGAAGCCAGGAAGCAACCTCAAATTTATATCTGGTGTGTTATATGTGAAATGAAAGGACACCTTGTTTTTGTCACTACAAGCAAAATAATGAGCTGTGCCCAAACTATGAAAATAATCATTCCCTCTTCTTTATTGTTTCCCAAATACCTATTTTTAATAGTTTCTTATTTCCCTTCATTTTAGACCACAATTACTGTGTATTTACCTCTCTTTCTGTCCTGCAAAAATAGACAAGCATAAACAAACAGTCCTGCAAACATAAACAAATAAGACACAGAGCCATACCCTGCCATTCACTGAAGACCTGTTCCTGAAAAATGAGGCACTTGGCAATCTAACAGAGAACAAACCAGTTTTTACCCATAAGAATTAATAAAACTGATGTATACAACAATTTAAAAAATACACATGGAGACGGTATATACGATGTGGAAAATGGACAGGCAGAAGTAAATGCTGAGGAAACAGGACCATGAGCTGGAAGAGATGCTGACTTTTGGAAATGCATAGGTGCTTTAGAATAATCTCAGATACTTCAGCTACGAAATTTAACACCTGATCATTATCACATTTTTCCATCCTTTGCCTTTGATTGGCTTGATTCATCTGAGAAAAATGAAGATACCGAAGAAAATGTAACTGTTCAGGAAGAGGCTCAAAGAACTCTCTTTATTATTGCCCAAAGAATTGTCAACATTGCTTTAGACACACCTATAATGCAGTTCTCAAAAGCATGGGAAAGAAAATGCTTCTTCTGTACTTTCCCTTGGTTTAAAGAACATCTAGCATCAGTAGGATTAAGGGACCAGATTCTACAGCTAAATTTGTTCATATAGGGATTAGACTGCCAATAATTTATTTAAACCATGAACACAATAAATCAGCATGATCTTTTAAGACCCTTCAAAAAGAGGGGAAGGGGAAAGAACCGAGCATGAAACTTCTGTAGAGTCAACATTATGAAAGGCTAAAACAAATATTTATCAAAGTTTAGGTCTAAGGAAATTTCTGATTTCTTTCAGAGTGTGGCTAACAAAACCAAAAGATAACACCTGTTGAAGTCTTACAGAGGGCTTTCACAGAATCCAAAGCCAATAACACCATAGTCAAAACCCATTTTTCCTAAAAGTTCCAACATTTTTTTACAGGTGCTCTTTTAAAGCAATAATCATCTCTACGTTGCACTTCTTGGTAGCCCATAAAAAAATACAATTGAATAAACGAGCCCATGTGAGAAACACTTCTCAGAAGAACAAGCCTTGGAAAGGGATTCAGGAAAGTAATACAAAATGTCAACAAAACATTTGAACTTTTGAACAGTGCCACAATAAGCAAAGATGAAGCTGGATTATTTTCTGGCTTGAAAGACTCTTTTTGTGTCTTCAGAGATGAAGCCAGATTCTTCTCATTGAAAGGATGAGAGGTAGCAGGCACAAACTGAAACAGTGGAAATGGAATTTGAACTAAGAAAAGGCTGGATTTTTTTACCATGAGAGCGGTTGAACACTTGTTCAAACAGATTATGGGGATTCCATCCCTGGTGATATTTGAAACCAAACCAGATACGGCCCCAAGTAACCTGTTCTACGTGACCCTACACTGAGCAGAGATGGCTGAATAGAAAATTTCCTGAGATCCCTTCTGACCTCTACAATTGTGAGATTCTGTAAAGTTTGAAATATGAGGGTTTGGGGGCCTTCTTAAAGTTCAGAACACAATTTACACAAATGATACAGGGATCTGCATGGCCTCCTCTCCACTACTGTGACCTGTATACATACAAGTGTGAGTATCACTGACACCCTTCTCACAGCGTGGCTAATCATTTACAATGCTGTAGTGGACATATCAGTCAAAAGGGAAAGCTCCACCATATCACCTCAGCATTATAAAAAGTAAACAAACAGACTGTATTATAATTAACCAATGGGGTGGGCTGGGGTAAGACTATTTACAGCAGATACTCAGTGTTGAGTATTAAAGATAGGGAAACATGCTGAAAATTAACAAATGTTGCATGCAAGGCAGATATAAGGGCATTACATGCCACTTCTTAAATATTACACACAGGAAAAAAACCTGGTTGACACTGTGTTTATTTTATGGAAATGCTGGTTAAATTAACAGCAAAAGAAACAAAAGGGGAAAATAATACGGGGAAAGAAACAGATTAAAGAACCTCCAGATGCCTTCTTGAGAGTAAGACACTGAAAGACCTGCCAGCCTCAGGCTCAGTTTTCAGACAGGTTTGAGACTGCTGCATTCCACTTCCTGGACACAGCAGCTTTCGATTTTGGCCCCAAGGAAGAGAAAAGAGGTTGTGAGAAGAAGATTTGGTATGCCTCTGCACTTTTAAGGAAACTCATTTAGAAGAGATCAAAACAGAGTCAGAAACGAGGTAGCAAGGTTATGAAATGTGGTCAGGTTGTAAAGTCACCCAAATGGAATACCAACGTGAAAAACACCAGGCAAATCACATCCTGCAGCCCATCAAAAGCAGGTAGGAAAAGTATGAAATATAAGAGATAATGCAGTCCTCTAGATTAAATACCCAGTAAGTACCTAGCAGGATGAGTCCTAACTGTACTGTTTGGGATCCTGATTACAGTTTTCTACTGTCATCACCAAAGAAAGATTAATTCCTCATTAACTCAGGCACTAGGATACAGACTTCACATTGTTTTTTGTGGATACTATCCTACAAGTATTTGAAAAGAAAATGATACACTGCTATTTTTCCTTCTGAAGTGTCTACTAGTCATACTGCAGTATTTATGGATCCAGTTTCACAATCTCTTCAGGGCAGCAGGTGTAGGGAATGCTGCCAAAACAGGTCGTCCTACCTGCTTTCATCTTTTTACCTGGATTACTGAACTGGTGAAGTGAGGATAACTAGGGATGTCTACTAGACACTGTTAGGACTCTTCCTAAGGACTAAACAATTCTTTAATTTTATATGATCCACTTATTACAATGTAGTCTTTAACCTAGGATCAAATGTAAGTGAAGAAGACACACAACTGTATCCTGGACAGTGGGATCAGGGAAGAGGAAATTGTAACAAATTAAAGAAATAGACAGCTACAACAAACTTAATTGAGAAATAATGAGAGGGTAGAATTAGAGTAAATCACAAAAAGCTCCTACATTTTGGCAGAAAAGTATGGAAAGAGAATAAATGCACCATGACATGTTAAATGCTTGTAAACAAGAAAAGGTGATGGTTGAAGTCTGTCCATGTGCTGTTCGGGTAGAGGTTCCGTGCTCGTCTAGCAACTGCAACCGCGGTGACAGAGTCTGGCATGTTTTTATGGGTGCAAAGGTGGGAGCAGAACTGCCTGCACATACGGATGTACAGAGTGCCAGGGAATAGGGGCCACTGGGAATGCTGGGCAGGTCTTGTGCACGCACAGAGAAACCAAAGAAAAGGCTCATTGTCCGGGCTACCTGGAGCAGTGTATAATTACGCGCACATGATGAAACGCGCTCCGGGCTCTGAGGAGCGCAGGGTACCGGGGCCAGATGCCCGCAGCATCCGCGGTCCGGGCCAGGACCCCGGGCAGGCCGGCGAGCGGCTGCGGGGCGGGGGGAGCGGAGTGCGCGGAGGGAGGCTGCGGGGGCGGGGGGCGGCTCGGGGCCCGCAGCACGGGGAGGGTGCGAGCCCCACCGCACCCGGGGACCGCCGGCATCGCGCGGGGAGGATGGCAGCAGGGAGGCGGGCGGCTCCGAGTGCCCCGCAGCCACTGAGCACCGCGGCACCTCGGCGGGCCGGCGCGGAGCTCCGGGGGCGCGGGGCTGCTCCGCCACTCGCCAGGAAACTTTCCCGCCCCCGGCCCCCGCCGCCTCCCTCGCCCCCGGGGCGGCAGGTCGCCGGCCCGCCCGGCCCCTCTGCCCTCGTTGGCGCTCGCCCCACCGCCCCCTGGGCCGCGCCCTCCCCTCACCTGGGCGGGCGCGGTGCCGGCGGCGCGCCGGGGCCGGGCTCCATCGCTGCGGCGGGAGGGACCAGCCCGGCGCTGACAGCTCCGGCTGAGGTGAGCGGTGAGCCGTGAGCCGTGAGCGCCGCCGCCACTGAGCAGGCGCGGAAGCGGCCGGAGGGCGGGCGGCCCCCGCGATGATGTGGCCCGTGATGCGCAGCAGCCGCCACCGGACCCGGCGGGGCTGGGGAGGAGCCGGGCGCGGCCGAGGAGGGGACGGGACGATGCGCGGTGCCCGTGGTCTCTCGCAGCCCGGCCCCGCAGGGCGAGCCGCGGCCCGTGTCACGCCTGCGCTTGGGGACCCGCCGCCGCGCCCTCCCCGCTGCTCCCTCCCGGTCCCCTCGGTGGTAGCTGAGTCCTGCTGCTCCCTCCTCGGTCCCCTCCCTCGGCGAGGGCCCGGCCGGTGCCCCGCAGCCGCGGGGAGCAAAGGGCTGGGGAGCGGGGCTCCGGGGCGCTCCCCGGGCGGGGCCGGCGGTGGCGATGCCTTTGCTTCCACTCGCAGTGCCTTTCTTGGCGACGTAGCACAAGAGTCGCTGTTTCGCACTGACTCCAGATTGTCAGCCACCCGGACACTTTCGCTCTTTCCTGCCAGTTGGCTAAAAGCAGCTTCCTCAGGAATCCAATTTTTTAGGTGTGTGGGTCGGTTGGAATCCTTGTTCTTGCCCAGCTAGACTGTATACCCTGCACACAACATGTAAGTCTGCAAGGAAACTCCCTTGCTAAGTACGAAGCCAAGGCCTTTCTGGGCCCCTGTTTTGAGACACACTTTATATTAATACATTGAAACAGTCAAGCCAGCTAAATTTGTGCATTTATTATCATTACTTGTATTACTCCTCGATTGTTCCTCAACAACTTGAAACAGTGAGGATGCCTTAAGTGGCAGTTGAAAGGGAAGAAAGGAAGAAAAGAGAACTGGGATTTAATGATGGTGACAGCAGCCAAGCCTATGGCATCCCTCTTCCTTTCTACAGACAGAACAAAAGACAGCATGGGCAAGTCACCAAGTGTCTGACATAAACTGGCGCTAGCTGTGGTGGGGATGTGTGGCAAAGCAGAAACTTAAGCACAGGAAAATGTATTTCCAGGACTGGGGCCAAAACAATCTGTGCTACAAGAGTGAAATATAAGGCATCAGCTTGAACTCTTGAGTCGATACTGCATTAAATGAATGAAGCAGCCCAAACCTCAGAGCTTGTAATTCAGCTGTCTCAACCCTGAATGTATTGGGAATTTGGGCTACAGATCTGATTGTTTCCCTGACCTGGTAGTAACCATATATATCCGTGCCTTGTGTGTGCTCACATGTTACACAGTGTGGATACTTAGTTGGGCCACCATGCAAATCAGATAATGATCACATCTGCCTCTGTTGCCAACAGGTTAGACTATAAACTCAGGTTTGAAAATAACACCCGAGGCTGCTATTTCTGGCTTTTCTAATTGCACCTCTGGTGATCTTGGGCAATTATTTCATTGTTCCCTACTACAGGTTCCTTGACAGCATTATGCCCCTCCCACCACTGAAATCACATAATACCCAAGGATGAAATATAGTATTTGAGGTTCCCACACTATTATTTTGCGATGTGTACAAATTCAGAAAGACTCACTTGAGGCCCAAGGCAAAAACCTCCATCCTCGTGATTTTTTGGTCATCAAAGCTAGCAATGGGGTTTTCTGGAAATGGAAATTCTGGAGTGCAGTTGGGTGGAAAGGTGCAAATCAAGTAGCAAATTCAGTGGAATGCACTGGTGCTGGGGTGGGCTGGGGAAGTGGCAGAGGACACTTGTTTGGGCCAGTCTGTCAAGAAAACAGCAGGGTGATCTCTTGCTTGAGGCCTTGCAGAAGGTTTGCCTTTTACTGCCTTGGATTGATAATGCCAAGGTACTGGGATCTCTGTGGTTTGTTGGGGGTTTGTTGGTCTGTTGTTTGGTTTGGTTTTTTTTTCCCCTGTGTTCTTTGCAATGGAGACTTATAAATACCACTTACTGATTGCCACTTATTCTCACTTTTGGCTTAGACTTCCCATCTCGTTTCTTATGAACCATTCAGTTCTCTTTTTACAGTTTTCACACTGTCTCAAGTATAAACAGATAAGGAAAGAAACTGCAGAACAAATCCTGAATAACAGGTTGGCCAATGTCATCTGAACTAGGTGGTTGTGTAAGTTTCTTTTCCACAAGATGATTAGAACTCCCTCAGGCTCTGAAATTTAATTTTAGATGCATTTGTCAAATTCTGACAACGAAAATGGGAGAGTTTTTAGAGGCAAGCAGCTACAGGCAGACATTCAGGTGACGCTACCTGCTGGCAGCTTGGTTTCACACGCTCATGGCTCTTCCAGGTGATGGGATCGACACTTTTTAGTGCCAAATCACAGAATCACAGAATCAGTCATCTGGTCCAGCCTCCCTGCTTAAGTAGAGTTGTCGTAGAGCACATGGTCCAGCATTGTGTCCAGATGGTTCTTGAATATCTCCAGTGAGGGAAGACCCCACAACCTCTCTGGACAACCTGTTCCAGTGCTCTGTCATCTGCACAGTAAAGAAGTTCTTACTCACATTCCAGTGGAACTTCCTGTGGTTTTGCCCATTGTCTCTTGTCCTATTGCTTGGCACCACTGAGAAAAGCCTGGCCCCATCCTCTTGGCACCCCATCTTTGCATATTTATATACAATAATGAGGTTCCCTCTCAGCCATCTGTTCTCAAGGCTGAACAGGCCCAGTCTCTCCTCATAAAAGAGATGCTTCAGTCCCTTAATCATCTTTATATCCCTCGACTTGACCCACTCCAGGAGCTCCATGTCTCTTTTGACATGAGAAGCCCAAAACTGGACCCAGCACTCCTGATGTGCCTCAGCAGGGCTGAGTAGAAGGGCAGGATCACCTCCCTCGACCTGCTGGCAATGCTCTTCCTAATGCACCTCAGGACAGCATCGGCCTTCCTGGCCACAAGGACACACTGCTGGCTCATGGGCAGCCTGTTGTCCACCGGGGCTCTCGGGTCCTTCTCCACAGAGCAGCTTTCCAGCAGGTTGGCTCCCAGCCGGTGCTGGTGCCTGGGGTCATTCCCTCCCTGGTGCAGGGCCCTTGTTGCATTTCAGAAGGTTTTAATCGTTGGGGGTTGAATATCTGGGGGGGTGTGGGAGTATATGTGGGGGGGTGTGGGTTGTTTTTGTTTGTTTGTTTGTTTGTTTGTTTGTTTGCTTCTTTGCGAGGCGATTTATTTCCCTTGCCGCGCCGTTCCCCGCCGCCGTGCCCCTCCCGGCCTGCAGGGGCGCTGCCCGCGCCGCGGCGGAGCGGCCGGAGGCGCTTCCTTGGCGGTGGGCACATGGCGGGGGCCGGCGGCGAGGGGACACCGGGAGCGTCCCGGGAGCTGCTGGACGTGGGACGGCGGGCAGGTGAGGGCGGGCAGCGGGGGCTCGGATCGCGGGCAGCCCGGGGCACGGGGCTCGCCAGGCCACCGGGGCGCTGGGGCGCCACTGGGCCCTCGTGTATTGAGGAGCTGCTGCTTTCCCGGGCACGGCTGCGGCCATACGGAGTAAATAGTGGGGGGTGGGGGAATCCACGTTTAATTAATGTCGACATTCGTAACGACGTTTGTATGAGAACCAGAAAACCCACAGTGTTTGTTATAAGGCAGAAAGCTTCGCTTTAGTTAGCGATTGCGGGCGGACGGCTCTGTTGGCGGCCGTGGGGGTTAATTAACCCGTGTAATTAACGCTGAGTTTCCCTGCACGGCGTGGGTTCCACGGCGCTGCTCCTGCCCACGGTCAGTGTAGGGCCTTGGCACCGCTGCTGGGGGCTCCTTCTCGTCACACAGGGCTTTAAATCAGTGTGACTAGCACGCCTTAGCTCTTATCTCACTGTGCTTTGCTGTGGGGTGTTACAGGTAGTTTTTCAATGCATTATAACTCTGAATAAATCTTGGGTTTATACTGCAAATACAGCGTAAGTCTGCCAGGCCAGCGGCCCACGTGGCCCGGTATTCTTTCTTCCAAGAGCTGCATTAGCAGATGACAATTACAATTACAGAGAACTTGTCAGCTTAAGCACTGTAATACTTGTTTGTTTGTTTGTTTGCAGGGCTGGAAAACATTTTGCTGATTAATTCAAAATGTAGCAGCAAAAAGGCCACGACTTTACAGACAGTCAGGATACCAAGGAGCAGTGGTAAGTAGGAGCTTGTTACTGGAACACTCTCAAGGAGCAGGTAACATCTGTGACATAACCTTTGCTTCAGTGCTTTCCTTGCATAGGTAAAGGGAGAAACTTTCGTGTTCAGTTTCTACTGGTGTTAGGTCTTCCACTGCAGTTCCATGTCCTGCAGGTTAATCATGTAACTTTTATGTAAATTATATTTTGCGATGCTAGGCATTCCAGCTGTAAGTTTTAGGGACAGATAATTCTTTTTCAGTATAAGGTTATTGCTTTTTTGGTTTTTTTCTCATCTGGGCTTCTTACTTCTTTTTAGAAGTAATTTCTCAGTATGAATATATCTGTTGTATAAAAGCATTTAGTTTAAAATGGACTTCTGGCAAATGACTGTATTTTTGTGTTGTGATTGAGCTGAAATTTAAAAAGTAATAGCAAAAAAAATTGTTAGATCAAATTCTTTCTTGGATAAAAGTCTCTACAAAGATGACAGTGTTTCAGAGGTACATTATACCTGTTAGACCTCTGTGGAGCTCACCTGGAATAGTACCTACTTCTCAGAGAAAGAGAACTAGTGATTGGCTCACCTGCACGTGTGCAGCAAAGTTTATTTCACGAGACTCTGAGGCAGGTTTTCCTCCATGGAAGGGAAATGAGTGTGATTCTCCTAATGACACTGATAACCTTATGATTCTTGGCAAGTCCCACTGAGCTTAGAGGGATAGTTCTGTAGAGAGTAAGTGCTTCATACTTCGACCTAGAGCATCTGTCTCTGTCCCACCATCTTCATTTCAGAGTTTTTTGTTAATTATGTTGATCTTTCATTAGTCTAACATGGCATCTGTGTTACAGCTAATTTTCCCATCTTCTTTGAGACCTTCAGCCTATACTTTAACAGGGAAGAAAAGAAGATGTAATT